GGAAAAGTGTCAGTTCTAATATTCAAATTCACGATATCTTTGATTTTTCAAAAGTATATCGAGTACATTCTGTCACACGAAACTATATTATATTTCGACATATATAAGTATCGACGAAATATCGAAAAATTACAACTGATTATTACTTGACTAGTCAATCAGTACAATCGTTCAAACTATGGAAATCAAAGCACAGTTCAATTGTCAATATTATACATAAGATTCTGGTCAGTTATTATATTAGTAACAATTATTAACTTTTTTCTATTTCAAAGCAATTTATCAAAATCGCAAATTTTAATGTTTATCATATTATTTTCCTTAACAATGTGAAACATCTAAATATAACTTCAAAGTAACGACAAATATTTTTAAACAAATAAAATAAAATTGCTGGAAAAGTTTACTGTTACTTAGAAAAGAATGAATTAAATAAGAATAATTAAATGCATATTATAAAATATGTATAAGTTATATAAAAACATATAAATAAAAAATAGTATATTTTTAATAAAATAGATAAGTAAAAATTTATTTTTGTTACATTTTAGAAGAAATTTGATTATGCATGCATTCTGCATAATTATGTACTTTAATATTTATCATGACTAGTTTCATATCGGAATTATAAATTTTTCTTATTCTGATTTTAGTTTTTTTCGTATCTTCAAATTTCAAAAGCAAATACTATATAACGATACTTGTGCACGCGCATGAGAAAGCACTCCGATCGAAAGAAATTGACACATTCTGCATCGTTTCCGTTTTCTGCACTTCAATTCACTAATCAGAATAATTACGTTCGTATCGCGGTTACACATGACTTAATTAGATTCAGACTCATATCAACCTCTCAGATATATATTTATAATATGTATAGAGATCGGCATAATATGTATATGTATATGTATATTTATTTTCTTCCTTCACATTCGCCTCTTCTCTTTCTTTTCCGCGTCTTTTTCTCTGCTATTATACATATATAATTATTTATTACCAACAGGGCGTTAAATATCTCACGCTTTTAATATTTGTTCATACCAAATTTAAAGTTTATGTAAATGAATAACATGTACGCGTGTGTGTACCCTTTACGTGTACATATTTATTACGCATATACTATAGGCGTATCATATATCTGTATGTCATATATTTATATATGTAGAGATAAGTAAAAAAACTTAACGATAATTTCTCTTTTTTATTTTTTTTCTAACTTTATTCTTTATTTGCCAGAAAAAATCTCGCGTTTCATTAAGTTCCTATTTCATCGTGGTTGTATCTTAGCATTGTAGATGCAAGTAAGTGAGAGAAGTTATATGTGCTGAATTCATATGCTCGTCTTTTACAGTACTATGTATAGTGGTTGAACAACAATTCCATAAATCTCTCGCTCACTATCTGATGTGAGTTATTTTTGTGTTATGTTTGTTTTCCCTGTAAGCCGACAGACTTTCTCTATTTCCGTTTCTCTTACATAAGCAACGTGCACCGGATGGATCCACACCGGATGGATACACCGTGCTGAGGCAGATACCGGATGTACTGTTTACCTGTTTTTGCGAGCTTTCTGCAAGCACCTCGCTCTATATATATATGTGTGTGTGTGTGTGTGTGTGTGTGTGTGTGTGTGTGTGTGTGTGTGTGTGTGTGTGTGTGTGTGTGTGTGTGTGTGTGTGTATGTGTGTGAGTATGTGTGTGTTGGTATGTATCTTCTTCTGTACATATTCGATGTACTTCATTCATAATTTATGTATATATATTTATATAATCCACGTACAGAATGCGCACGTGTCATTTATCGGTGGCGATTAATAAAATTCTTCAGAATATCGACGTTCGTTCGTTCCATTGTGTTCACATTTAGGTTTCTTATGTTTTATTCTTTTCTCTACGGGTTTCACGCGTTTAGATGACGTTCAGAGAACTTTCTGCGCTGTCGTAACTCGGTTCTTATACCTATTTTCGTTATTATTTCGTTTTAATATCACTGAGAGTCTAACGATACGTCGCAGAATATTAGAATTATTGTTATCCTTATTATTATTCTTATGATATTATTACTATTATTATTATTATATTTATTTTTATGACCACAATCGGTATCGTTATTTGCATTATTTTTATTATTATTATACAATTATAATTTAATCGGTTTTGTGTTTTCACGTTTAAATTAGCACTTTAAAAACAGTAATTACGTCCATATCGGATTATACGATTAATTAATTTATCGTTTACAAACTTGGTCATCATCCTTTTATATTAGAAAGTCTATGAAGATTAAAAGAATTCTATTATTATGCTTTTATACATATACGACATTCTCTATACATGTATATTAAGTAGCACACATTATACATGCACATTTTGTGTCTTTTCTTTTTTTTCTTTCGTTCATTTCTCTCTCTTTCTCTCTATCTCACTTTTTCTTTATCTTTCTTTACCTTTTTCAAGTATCATATATATATCGATACATTCACGTATTCTCTTTCTGAGCTGCATTTACATATCACATATTATATTTTCTATTCACTTATTACCATGAATATAAAATCAGATGATTTTAAACTTGATTTTTAAACTTGTCTAGTTTGATTCTATGTTAATTTTTAGATTTTGCAAACAAACAATTTAAGAATTAGAGGATTAAATTTGATATTGAATTAAATGATTTCATCCTGAACAAACGCAAGATCCAAAATATTATTTTCAAAATTAAAAAAAAAAAGAAGAAACTTCGATGACATTTTTATGTGTTAAATGTGGCTCTTTACCTTTCTTTTTACTTGCGTTAACAGGTTTTTTTGGATTCTCAAAATTAGTTATCATATCGTTAGACTGGCTAAGTTTTTTTTTTCGAAATATATTTATCATAGAAAAACATTTTCATGAATATTTAATCTTATTTGCGCGTACACTCACGCACACACACGCGCGCGCGCACATATTGTAATCGTTCTGAATTTTATCACGATCTTGCGGATCTTCTTGGATCATATCGATATTTATTTATCTTGAGACATTCGCTAATATCAGCTAGACTAAAAATAAGTTTTTCTTAGATAAATTGTAATTATATTTCTCAATAATCTTTTAATTTTTTCGAACATAAAAATTAAGTAAATTTTATTTTATTTCCCATTTTATCTATAAAACGAAATAAAAACGGGATATATAAAAAATAAATTAAAAAATAATTCTACGAACCAATATTAGTGAATTGATTGATAGTGTTCCTCTTCATATAGCTTCTTTCATTTTCGTTGATTATGAGTCGCTTTAATAGCAACGTTTATACGCGATGTAATATACAATTGAGTTTTTAAAGCATTTAAGGGAAGAAAATATGATTATATCTTACTAAAAATGCGCTCATGAGATCCTCGGTGATCCTTTTTTCCTCTCCCTTTCTCTCTCTCTCTCTCTCTCTCTTTCTCTCTTTCTCTTGTTTCTAAAATAATATTTTTATATCATTTTAGAAGAGACAGCATAATTCTGATTCAAATATGATTTTCCTGGATCTGGAAATAATTAATGTCATTGAAGATATTAATCACCAATTATTCCAACTCTCTTGAATTATCCTTTTATTATTAATTTTTATTATTTTACATTACTATCTATATATATTAGACAATATATTAAAGCGATTGGATAAGTCTGTAGTCTTTTCTTTGGAAAAATTGATCTTATTATATATTGTTGAATTTTTAATCGCTGAATAATACAAACAATTTCGATGATTAACGCCCGTTCATTCACCAAGGATTTTTATATGCTGATCATGCTGGAAAATCAATCATTCTTTCTTTTTTTTACTTCATTCTTTCTCCCTACAAGAATTTCTCCGTTGCATACATACATTTTTTTTCGAATTAGCTACTTACATTAATTATACATTACGTAGTGGCAATATTTATTTTACTTAGTCAATACACGAAAATTACGCAAATAAGTACAGACCAGCGCATTTGAAATCAATCGAAATATTTAAGAAACGAAGTAAGTCAGCTCTTTCTTCCAACAACATTTTTCTCGAAAGCTGTATTTGACAACAAAAATAAATAAATATAAAAATCAAAGTAGCGAAACAAGAATAAAATGCTTTATAAAGAAATATATTATCTAGTGACATGATTATCGCAATAGCTGAATTGCCTCGCTTCTCAAACTTATCGATTCAATTATTTTACATCTATTCACTCAGTCTTTCACTTTCTTTCCCTCTCTTTCACTCATCGGATATATACATTTATTTACGTATAGATATATCGTAATATTTATACGTGTTGGGAAAAAAATGTACATTTATGTACACCTACATATTTTCGTGGGTGTTTCCTTAAAACACCTGAATTGGCAGTATGTTAAAAATATCTTTATGTATAATATAATGATTTTTTTTTTATTACGTATTCACACGTACTCATTCTTTTCGGATACGTGTGCTTGTTTAGCAAGCTCTCGTTTTGCGAATGATTCTCTCGAGTTTTCTCTATTTTTTTTAACTCTCTTATCATTCGTCGTATAAACGTACGATTGACGACGAAGTTTGAAGACAAATTAATTATGTAAAGTGATGTTTCTCTGTTTATTTTTCACGAATCGCGCGCGCTTCGATAATTAGCACATTTATTGTTAATGTTATAGTAATGATAGTAAACAGCGTAGTAGCGACGATAGTAGAATAATTTAGTAATAGTAATGGTAGTAATAGAATAATAGTAGTAGTGATAGTAGTAGCAGCAATAGTAGTAGTAATATTAACAGTAATAGTAGTGGTAGTAGCGGTAATAAATCGTAATATAGTAGTGATGGTAATAACAATAATTAGTAATAGTGTAATAGTAGAGGGAAGTAGCTGTTTTTCATCTCTTTTTTTGCGGGTGTTAATTTAATAACGGTATTAGCAGTGATAAGTAATAAGTATTGTAATTCAAATATACGCAGTAATTTACAGGAGTACTTTTGAAAACTGTGTGGTAAGAATTATTTATCTCTCCGCGTCATTGATTCTCTTTCTCTCTTTTCCTTTTACGCCTCTTCCCTCTCCCGTTATCTCGTGATAATTATTCATCCTTCTGCATTTCAAATGCGCATTTCTCAATCATGGTCCTCATTTCCTGAACTTTTTCCTATCACTGTTGATTGGCACTAATCGTGAAGCAATATCCGCGCAAATTAACGACAACGTTTATGTTCGTTTTCTTCTTCCTTCTGTTCCTTGAGTTTACTCTTACGATAACTACAATCGTCTTGCATGTCGATTTTACAAGAACCGCGACTGTAAACAATATTGGTATCTTGTAACGGCAGTTCTTGCGCATCTCTCTATTTCTCTCTTTCTCTCTCTCTCTCTCTCTCTCTCTCTCTCTCTCTCTCTTTCTCGGCGAAGCGATTTCTAATTATTCGCATTTGATTAAGATCTCGAGTTCATCGGATTTTGTCAATGTCAAAATGGAGCTGACTTAAATCCTGGCAGAATTATTAGAATCTTTTGTTTCGACTTTTAATCTAACTTCTAATTCTATTAATTCTTTTCTTATTGGTTTCTTTATTCATTATGAAATATCCGTTTGGCAGTGCGTTCTGTTCGCACGGTTGAATTTCCCGACGAATCGTCCAACGATGCTTATAGTGAAGCGAAGAAATACAAAACAGATTTTTAGATTTCAAAATAAAACATCGTCATGTCAAATTATTTTGTTTAATTTTTTAATTTTTAAAATTGAAAGTAACGATGTAAGCTTTATCGAATCCTGAAACTACATAATTACTATTGCGTCTTTCCATTCTCTCGCTTCAGTTTCCCTCAATAGTCCTTCAATTGTCGTCGTTGAACAATTAACATTACTTAATCGGTGCGACTTAATTTTCACGAGTGAAAATGGAATGATTCGGTACATCAGTCGCGATTTCCGACTAATTATGGGGGAAGTGGGTTTTCTTATACACGCATACACGCACAAGATCATACGAACATACATACATACATGAATACGCACGCACGTAAGTGAACGTTTCGTTTTCATAGCGCAATTCGATGAGTCTCTCCTCCAGAAAATCGTGTAAAAAGTAAGTTTTCCTCGAGATGGTCTTCGTTCGATTAAGCTGAAGTAAGATCGAAATAATAACTCGCGAATATAATATCAGAGGATTTCGAGCTCTCCCGGAACGTCCTCTCAATTAATCAATCACTGTCATTCACGATGAGTTTCACTGCAATCTACCACCTTGTCTCTCGACGTAGCCGTCGCTCGAGAGATCCATCTTCGCTTCATCGTGCGTCGTTTGCATCAATATAGAGCGTCTTCGACTACAGCAATTAAATAAAATTAATCTTTCAAATCCCTCGCATCAGACGATCGTTCGCTCCCGATACTTCTGATCTGATCTCCAGGCTCCAAGATCGGATTTTCGAAATTCCCCAATCATTTGATTGCATCTCGAACAATTCGTAGAATCGCGTACGTCGAACTCTTCCTCGTTCGCGGATTCATAACGACGTCAATAAATGAGTGATAGTTTCGTCGATTTCTCTTGTGCGCAAGAAATCGATTTTTTGTGTGTATTTACTGACCCTGTTCAGTCGCCGTATTCAGCCACCGGAAATCGCTCCGAATATCGTCCGTTTGGAATCGTTTGCCTTGTTTTCAACTTAGATCTCTTTCGGTCGCCGCAATGTCATAACTGGAAAAACTCTTTCATGAAGTTCCTCTTTGGCCAGTCGAAATCTGGAGGAAACCTCCAGAAGCTTCGAGCTCGTCGACCGCGGTTCTTCCGTACTTTCATATCGAAATCAACGCGTGGATGACTATTATGCGCAAACCCTGAGATGCCTGGGGGCGTCCACGTCACCGGACCACAGTCCTATTTTGACTAGCACCAATCGTCCTCGTCACTGTTCGAGTACTTCGATCTGCTCAAAAACATTATTCGTTTAATCAGAACTCATTATTATAGTTTCAAGCGAAATGGATAGCTTATGTATTAGGTGTTGGAATTAATTCGTAGCGTTTTACAAGTGATGGGAAGTACTTTCATTAATGTATTTTTTAATGCTCATGTGAAATAAATAACATTCTTTCATTAAAAACGCTACGAATTAATTCCAACACCTAATATTTAAAAAAATGTGTTGACAAGTGTAGATTAAAACAATTGTAAACTACAGAATCTAATAAAATCAATGAACTTTAGAATATAAGCTTCTATTGTATAACTTTTAACAACTCTGTCATTAAGAGTTACAGAATAGAAGTCTTAAAAAAAGCACTTTAAGAAAAAGTAGATAAAAATTAATAAATAGTAAGAATAATTAATTGTAATAATGATAAAAAAATAAGGTTATTCGAAATAGAAGTGGTAAAATCTTCTTACCTAGATGCTCTTTGCTTGAATTGCGATTGTGGTTTGTAACCGTTGGGTATCGGGTTAGGTAATAGACGACCGCGACTGATCGCGACAATCTGCTCGAAGTTCAACGGATGATGATTCGATTGCATGGAAGATGGCATGTACGACGGCGGATGTGGATGCTGCAGAACATGATCGAATACAGGTCCCACTGGCACGTGAGTCAGTCCACTCGGTGCCATGCCATGCGGTCCGTGAGTAGGCGAGGCATTCAGCTTGGGGAAGTTGATGTTGGTCAGTTTCAGCTGTAGAGTCGATGGCTTGTTCGGCGTCGGGGGCAGCCGGCGACCCTGGCCTCTTCTCGCGACCAGCACTGGATAGCTGTGTTGATACGGATGATGGCGATGATGACGCGGACGACCATTGCCTATCGGGCTCGGGCTCCTCGAACGCTGCTCCAGATTTGTCGTGCCATAATGGCCACTACGTTCGATCTTGTGAACCGGACTTGGCGACCTGACCGGACTCGTCGACGCGCTCCATAGATCTAATAATTACGTTTATTAAAATCTTCTGTCTGTGTGCGCATGGCACAATACAGGGGCTTTAGCCCCGTCATTACGGAGCTTTTTCGACATACGGCGAAAAGGTTGCTCGACAAGTAACTCGTAAGCATGTGTTAAAAAGTCATTAGAAACCCGATACGGATATTGGAGACCGGACAATTTTCGGATGTTACCAATTTTTAATATTACTGATCGTTTGATTGTCTAATTAAAGGACTTACGATAAAATAAAATTAATCTAGATTCAATCACTCGGTCTCTGTGCGAAATTCAAAGAGCTCGATTTATCGGAAAGGATTCAGGATTGACGAATAAATGACTATTAATATAATGTAGCTTTACTAATAGTGATTAACCCTTTATGACTAACCCTTAAATAATGATTAACCCTTTATGACTAATTATTATTTCTTTTTCAAGGAAGAATATCAACTATATTTATACTATATTTAAATGTGTAGTAATGAAAATTTAATTTAATAATGGAGTACATTCCTGTAATATTTTTCTTATTTCTACATTTTGCGAAATTAATCATTATGACTCATATAATTTTTGAAAATTAATATATGTGCTAATTATCTTGAAATTCAATCAAATCCGAAGGAGGATTAATGTAACATGTTTATAGTATTTCATGTTTGTAATGTTGTGAAATCACTCGAATCAGTATAATACAAACACATGTCGGTGTCGGCTCTAAATATTAACTGTGTTCAAATTCTATCAATTCTAAAAATCATGTTTTTGCTTCATATCATGATTGTCTCGTATCAATCAAGTACCATTGTGAGGAGACACAAGGACGTAACAATATAATTATTTAAAAAATAGGATTTCAAACTTAAACATGCTGATGTGTAAAAACACGATTGACATATAAATATTGTCTTTTAAATCATATATATCGCGTTAAGTATTTATAAAATAAGATTTGTGGATTGCTTTTAAGAACTGAACACACTATGAAAATAATTACACATTAACATATTAACACATCATAGTAACGATCCAATATAGGATATACTACAACGATCTATTAGTCAATTTTTTTTGATTGATAAAGTTACTTGACAATTTCAATGGCGTTTCTAATGTAAAAACCATCGAGTAACAACCAGAAAAGAAACGCTTTTGATGATGTCTGCATGTGTTTTTGTGTGAGTATATATGTGAATGCATATCATTGTAAAACGAAACGAAGAAATAATGAAAGCCAGACGATCGTATTGATTATGTAGTAACATCATAATTGCATCGCGGAGACAAGGGATTGAAGAAGAAGAGAGTTGTGAAAGAAATTACCATCGTAATAGTCGCAGTGGTCGTAATAGTCTGTGTAGGCGCATAACAGAATAGAACGAAAAAACGTATTATATTGAGTATCACACAGAGCTTTTCCGTCTCGAGTAAAATCAACATTATAACAACATTCGTGTTTTTTTATAAAACCGTGACCACGAACTCTCTTTCGTTGCTTCCGCTGAATGTCAAACAGATTGTAATCTAATTATAAAATTTATTAGGTGTTGGAATTAATTCGTAGCGTTTTACAAGTGATGGGAAGTACTTTCATTAATGTATTTTTTAATGCTCATGTGAAATAAATAACATTCTTTCATTAAAAACGCTACGAATTAATTCCAACACCTAATAGCAATTGATAATTTTCAAGAATGCAATAGGGGGGTAAATAATGGCGCTATTTTCGTGACTTCTGAAATGATAAATATATCACCAAGCCGGTTGGAGATAATCATAATCAATAGTAATTAATATATAATAGAAATAACATCAAGAGAATGAAGGTATATCGGTGATATGATGATAGAGTAAATACAAGGATGCTGTGTTCGCATTATTCCAGGCTGATAAAAGACAACAAGATAGAGAAACCGGTTGGGGACAACTAACACGAAACAGAGTTCGCTGTCATGGTTCTGTGAAAAAGACTTATCGTTGCACCGTCGTGACTTTGGTCGGAATTATTGTCGGTACGTCGTACCTCGTATCCTGTGCCGATGATTATATTGTGATGCACGGGGATGATGAGTGTGCCTTTGTATCTCGATGACATTGCTAACGGTGTCGCTAAACCCTGGTCCATCGTGATAATCATGATGGTCATACCGGCTTTGTTGCTTTGGCGATGGCGATCTAGATATTATTGGCGAGTGTCTTCTGCAAATTATAACAATAACGAATGAGAAAATCGCGCCACTTCGTGTAGTACGTATAACGATCAAGTGCTAGAAAATCGAAGACATCAATGGTTTTGAATATCATCCTTGATTCAGTAATTTGGAATATATTAAAATTTAACTTCTTCGAGGTTAATGTCATATAATATTTTACTGGAATATAGCTTTCGTTAATTCCTCATTTTATAGTTTGAAATACACTAAATTTTCGAATTTCATTCGTCAAACACAGTTGAAGTCATTTCTCAAACACAGTTGAAAAATTTGTGTTACATTTAATACATCTCACGTGTCCTAAACGGTCTACTCAAATTTTTGTATTAATTTTACATAAAATAAATACATTACTACAAATATTATGTACAACAGTTATTCAAAAAACCGTGATACAATTTAAGCAAATTGTAAAACTATATATTTTTCCAGTAAAATTAACATTTATAACATGTTAAATTAATACGTATTTTATGTTCATCTATTTTAGAATTTATGTTTTAAAATACATTATTTTTATATTATTCCTTCACTTACTCAAAATTATGTTTTGACACTAGGAACGTTAAATATTAATTTAAATTATTTAAATAACAATCATATTGTATTAAATTAATATTCTAATATGTTAAAAATTCAACACAAAATTTTTTTAACAAAACTTGATCGATTTTTAACACAAATCAATATTTTTACTGTATATTTTGAACTACAATTGGCTGTCTACAAATGATCCTTCTTTGAAATTCTTCGTACACATACGTGTACAAATAAATTTGCACACAATGTGTATGTACATATATATATATATATATATAGTGCGATTTTTTCTCGAAATTTCTTTTGTTTACTGCACCCAATACCTTATATTTGGTGATCGTGAACGTCTAGAGAGGAGCGCGAACGTGGGATGTGGACGAAGGACTCTATCACCAGGGTGCGTGAGACTCTCGAGGCTACCAGTACGTGAGTCGGATGGTATGACGTCTTGAAGCTCCTAAACGAGAATAGATTTCGACTTAGTAGTTTATCTGTGTAATTCAGAATCGGATTGGGAATCGGATTGTCGGGGTGTTGCCGATTCTTTGTCTTTAGCAATATCGCGCTGTCGATTTGCGCGTTCCAAAAAAGGAACTATCGTAATATAACTATCGAGATGCCTTTTGTCTCCGGAATTTAAAAGCAGACGCACGTTTGACTTATCATTTGGCTCATTTATATTAGAGACCTATGATTAATTAAATATTATTCATATGCTTAATGTAGTGAGGAATACGAGCAATTTAGATTAATTAAAGTAACAATTGAATAAATTTAACTTATTTTTTTATTAATAAAATTAACAGCATTGGTAAAATTTTACATTGATTATCAATTTTATTATCGCAAAATACACAGTAATTTAATATCATGGTGATAATTACATCGATCAATTACATGAGAAGAACACAAGATAAAATTTATGTGTAAAACGATACTTTTTTAGACACGTGCGATCTGCTTCTCTTTGTAATTTTTAACGTACACTTTTGTGATTAATAAAGTTAAATATATTATAGCTTCGCAAAAAATCAGAAGAAATTAAAAGATAAGGCAGAATAAGAGTAATTCACACACAGAGATATATACATATGTGTGTGTTGAATGGCATGCAAATTAAAAGTCTCGCTCATGCACATGCACTCGGTAATAAGTTCCGATCGGTTAATTGGCAAAAGGAAAGTATCCGTTATCTTCGAGATGGGAATCTCTCTCTCAAGAGTGTGCTATCTTACTTACCAGAATGTGAACGTAAAGAATCAAAATAAAACATTACAATTGAGGAGAACGAGGCAGTCGTGTGATTGTGTTGACTGCTTCGTTACTCCAGCGATAATCCTAAGGCCGAAAGCAGCAAAAGTCAAGGGGATGGGAACTGTTCTATGCACCGATACGAGAAGAGTCGCTAAGACCTTTCGGATGACATATGTGACTATTTCTGTGATGTTCACGCTAGAGCGTTGTCTTTCTAGGTGTCATTATTATTTACAGGAGCACTAACACTCAGCGAGATCTAGATCGATTCGACCAAGACCGATTCTTTCAGCGAGCACTGAAGGAAATTTAGACAATACTGATAAGTAATGAGAGCACATGATCCGTCCAATGTAAATTAAAATTTCGTCCCATTCTACTGCGAATCGGTCTTGAGCGCTTAAGATCACGACATCACGGGCAATACCTCTCGATCCGCGCGATATTTCTTGAATAATTATCCTTTCAGGATTGGAAAATTTAAAACTTGAATTGTGCTAGAGAGCGTCGATTGGCTGGCTTATCTGAGACGGTATCGTCCTAATCTAATTTAAACATAAATATTTTCGATTTGTCTAAGCGGGAGTTTAATTGTTTTTTGAAATCTAATTTCATACTAACGGGACTTTATCTAAGAGCGTACTTCATTTATCTAGATCTCATTATAAGAACTTTTTGGGAGATCACATTTTCTAAAAATATTTTTGGTGACACAATTAATTACAATACTAAGTGTGATAGCACTTACGAGAAGAGATCATCTTCCCTTTGTGATATATAGATTGAAGTGAGAACTATTCTTCGACATTATCCTTAAACTAGTTTGACAAAAGAAACATGCGATTAGAAAAAGAAAAAAGCCTCTCCGTAGAAAGGCACTAAGTATCTAAAGTCTAGCTCGTGTGCAAGTCTGATTAAAGATTTGTTAGGAATTACGTATCTAATATGATAAGTGCCTAAGTAAGATAAACTAAAATGTATTGCCGTGTTAATATATAATATGCGACATTCATTTTCTCGCTACCTTTCATCAGTAATTACATTTTTTATCTCTGTGTGAATATTTTGCGTCCTTTATGCGCAATATAATGAATAAATTTATTTTATTCATTTAAACTTCTTCAAAATATACATTTTCCCTAATTTTAAAACACAGTTTTATAGCTCTTCATATATTATAATCTTAATTTTTTTTAAATATATGATAACTTGATATTACATTGAAATTTTATATATATATATGTGTGTGTGTGTGTGTGTGTGTGTTTCATAACGTTTTAAGCGTTGTTTTATCCTTGTATTCAGTAAACGAAGACAATTATACATATTAAACAAAGACAATTGATACTCATAAGCACTATGAGCGGCAAAGCGAACGCAGCCATAGCAATAGAAGTTTATTTTGAAGTTAAAAATTAATTTAAAAATATAATTCTACAGTTTTATCATGTGCATACTCAACTTAATTAAATATATTTGATATCGTTTATATGATTATATTGATGACAATAGCTGTTTCGCTACCTTTGGTAATGTGTACATGTATACATGATTATATTAATGTTAATAAAAAGCTACTTTACTTAAATGAAAGAAAGATCGAAAAAAAGTAATCGTATATACTTATAACGAGTAAAAAAAAATTGTGTGCAGTGTAAAATAGAAAAAAGACATACCAGAGGCGCATTAATTTTATAAGTAATAAAAAATAAAAATTAATTTGCAAGTTATTTCGCGCAATGTGTTTCACATATTTTATTATTTAAAATATCAAAGAGATAAAAAATGTTATCAAAATATATAAAAGATTATTTATTTATCTTAAAAAAAAATGTAAATTCATGTAAATTGTATTAGGTGAGACTTTGCATATGCGCGAAGCATTTTTTTGCATTCATTGTGTGTGCCTCTGGATAATGTGAGTGAAGAGTGAAGTAGGAAAAATTGGACTGTGAAAAGTGTTATTTTAGAAAAAAATGAATTATATGCTGTAAAAGATTCGTTTCTTTTTTTAAAGTAGTAATGAGTTATTTTTATGAAAATATTAGAGTTAGATATTGATAAAGAGATCGAAGAAACTTTTGCAATATTAATGCGAATCGGATGAATGTGATTAAAATTTAAAAACACAAATTGTATAGCCAAAGAAAAAAAAACAAAACAGTGTTAAGATAAGATAATAATAAGTAAGATAATAAGTAAGAGAAAAAGCAAGTACTATTGTACCTTGGCTGCAGGACTTCGTCCAGCACTATTGTCATCATTCTGGAAAATAAAGAGAAAAGACACAAGGAGATGATTGAAAATTATGTGAACATCCTTCCGGTTTTGAATATATTTAAAAAATAATTCAATCAATTATTTATTACTGTGTGCAAATTAATTATTACTGTTAACTGCTATTCTTTAGATGTCATTAATCCGTTTTAAAATTTCTAATTATTTTGTTGTTCTAGAGATACTCAATTAAAAAATAATAAATATTGTGTTCTTTGTTATCTAATAATCTAATTGAAATCCATTCAATATTTTTAGGCTTTCTATGATATACAAATATTGTTATCCAATCGATCTACCGATTGTCATTAAATTAAATTCTTTTATTGATATAAATATAACTTTTTTCAATTCAATATCGATGTCATTAATCTTAAAAGTGATTTATATTAATAAATTATTTAAAACATATTAATAGCTAAATAATTTGACTAAATAGTTTGTTTCTGTAGTCCCATTTTTAATTGGATCACATAAGTGGAAAGGCATTATTTTCTTCTTGTAACGTTAATTCCTTCATATATAATTAGATTTATTTATTTCCAGTAAAACTTTGATATAAATTTATTCGTAAGATATGAAGACTACAATTTAAATATTTAGCAGAGTCTAATAAAATTAAATTAATTATTCGAGTATATTTATCTTTTAGAGATTTCTCTATCTGTACTCGAAAAAGTTTCATGATGATATTAAAGCTCCGAGTTACCAAGCTAGACTACATGAGACTTTCAAAAAATACTCTATTCGTAAATTTATTCGCGGGCTGCCCTATCACGAGAAAGCCAACGACAATCATTCATTTCATTCTTCATTGAGATCCTTCATTTTGATTTTTCAATTTGTTTCTTTTGCAGTGATAGTTTAAATAATCAAGATAGAATTACATTTATTTAATAAGTATTTATTTATATCGATTTATACCGTACTTTCATTTCACAAACTTGTTTAACAGGAAAATCGAACGGAATAAAAAAAAATCATAAATGAAGGACCATGAAAGAAACTTAATATTAGAAATGCATCTTTAGGATTGGCTATCGTTCTCGTGAAAAATATATAGTTAATTTGACAGAAAAAAAAGGGACTGACCTGTTCGGTAGACTTTAGCTGACAAATTCTCAACTTCGTCAACCTCCAATTTTTGAGTATCAGAAGGCAGACATATATCTTACCCACGGTGAGCTTGTCTCTACTCAATTCTGGAAGAAATTGCACAATTATTAGATGTTGCAAAATATATCTTGTTGGATAGAGAAAAGCGAATTTTACTTTCATTCCTAGGTATCAAAAGATCCAACATCTTTTTTGCTTGTAAAGGCCAAATACTTTTGATCGTGTTCCGCAGTTCTTCATTGGCTTGATTCATTTCATCGGCTGAAACGAAATGAAGGGTTGGACTTATTTGCATAATTAATTGGTATTGTAAAAAATAAAACGTAAAAAAACTTAAAAAATAAAGAAATAAATGTATAATAAGATATTTAAAATATATTATTTTCTGATAATATTATATATGTTCATGCTATGATGTAATTTTAGAAAATATTTTTATAAGAATGAAAGATGTGTTTCTTAAAATATCTTCGACTTCATTACACATGAAAGATACAAGAATTGAGAAAAATTACATTAATCAACAATTGTTTTCTGCAAAATAACCATTTCCCTTTTCTACGCTGCAAAAATATCTATGAACTCACCGCATCGCATTTTTATGCTGAGATTCTCACGAATGAGTGCAAACATTGTTGTCGTGAAGTTCACCTTGCCATCACTGTCCACTGGCATATTCATTCTAATGAGCTTCTTATACGCAAGTCGATTTGGACACTTGTTGCCAAACCCCAATGGTGGATCTATATTCTTTAGCATATCGTACATCTCCGTGTAGTGGATCTTGCCAGTGGCGTTTGGATCATATTCAGTCCAGATCCGCACAAACTCATCGAGATGATGTGCGCCCAGGATCGACGAGTCCCGCGTGAGGTAATCGAAGTTGTCCATAATGACGGCGACGAAGAGATTCAGCATGATGAATGAACAGAAGAAAATGAACGACACGAAGTAAGCATAGGCAATGTTGGAGCCACAACTTTTGGACTTCGCTTTTGGATCGCAGGGACTGTCAGTTACGCAGGATGACATAATGTTTGGCCAAGCCTCGCCCGTGGCACACCTGAGAAAATCGCATATTGAGCATTTCTATTACGCTTTTCATGTCATGTCAATAGAAACGAGAACTGTGAATACTTCAGCAACCTAGCGCATCGCATACGCCAGAAAAGCCGCGATTATTATGCTAATATTCCCAACCGCATGCAGATCTTCCAATTCTAAATTAACCGATAATGCTTAACAAAGTTGCTATGAGATTAGTTAATTGCGAAAGTTATGGCGACTTTTTATACTTGAGAATAGATATCTACAGCTGTACAAATTCGTTGTTAAGATATATATATATATATAAATATGCCAATTCATTAGAGAACTAACTCTCTCTCTCTCTCTGATAATAGTTTTAAGTATTCCAAATTAGGCATACCAAAATGTTTTAAGATTTCAATTAAAAATAAAATTATATAATAACTCTTATTACAAGAAACATTTATCTCGTTTTGTACCGTTAAACAGTCGGGAAATAAATTAATTTTATTGTGCAGATTATATCATAAATATTTAGTCTCAAGTATAATTCTTTTGTATTATACAAACAATCTAATATTATTAAGCAGCATCTATTTGCAATCGCAAATCAAATTGAATTGAAAAATTACAAAAGTTCATGCGATATTTTGGCGAATTATGATATTATATCTTTTGCAGCGCATATGTTTTAGTTTCTATAATCTTTTCAGTTTTCTACAATCTTCTCTTTAAGATTTTAAATACTTTACTAAATTTCTATATATATATATATTTCATATTGCATATAGAAATTATATAGAAATAAAAATCATTATTAACTATTTTTTAATGTAAAATTTATTTCAAAATCGTTGTTAAGAACTAATAACAATTTTTATAATACAATTTTTTTAACCGATAATGTTTTCGTATATCTGCTTCGAGATTGAGGAGAACAAGTAATTGGGTTCCAGTCTCTTTGCAAGCGCGGCATGCATAAGGTCTAATATTTTATGTAACATGAAAGGCGAGCTGGATATTGCGAACTTAATACGACGAACTCAATTCTACACGTGGCTGCTGTGTATTATTCTGTTTTCTGTCTTTGCTCTGAATATGTCATGTCGTATAGCCTGATTTTGCTTTTGTGCTCGATTTAGTGTTGTGAATTTTATATGGTTGGATCGAAGCGAAAAGGTCTGTTGTGAACATACATCCGTAAATAATACGAATTGAATAATTAGAAGACTTCGCGACTTTGAGACGTTTAATGTGAGAATAATACATTTATTGGGAGTGTGCATTAATTTTAAAGGATTTTCAAGAGATGGCTATTAGTACTATCGCATCGGGCCATTGTTACTATCTTCATGTTCAAAGCACCATCATAACTTTAATTTTCAGTATGTGTCATTTTGCCGAAGTGTAAACAACGTTATTTTTTTGAGCATTGAATATGTCGAATTTTGTACCAACAAAACGCAATTTGCGGGAACCTTTGCTTTTTTATTTCCACTTGAAAAAAAGTGCTGCTGAAAGTCAACGAATGCTGTCGGAAGCTTATGGTGATTATACTCCATCGATTTCAACGAGTACTGATTTCGACGCTATAAAAAAGATGACTTTGACACAGAAGAAAAGGAACGAAGGCCAGAAAAAGTTCGAAGATGAGAAAGTGGAAGCTCTACTCAATCAAGTCAAACGCATCCTAGTCAAACGCAAGAAGAACTTGCAGAATCATTAAATGTTGATCGATTAACGATTTCCAGACGTTTGAAGGCCATTGGAATGGTTCAAAAGCAAGGAAATTGGGTGCCGTTGACTGAGGGACGCGCAAAATGACCTGAATTGTTGCACATGTCTTCACAGACACAAAAGAAAAAATTTTTTGCATCATATCGTGACGGATGATGAAAAATGGATACGCTACGATAATCTGAAGTGTAAAAAATCATGATGCAGGCCAGGTGAATCAGCAACATCGACGGCAAAACCGAATATTCATATTTGGTGGGATCAGTTGGGTGTAGTGTATTATGAGCTGCTCCAACCCATCACTGGGAAACGCTACCCACAACAATTGATGCAATTGATCGAGCATTGGAGCAAAAACGGGTCTATTCGTGGATAACCTCAAAAGATGTGTCGTTCTTTCGACGTGGAATCCACATATTACTAGATAGATGGGAAAAAGAAGTGGCTACCGATGGACATATTTTGAATGATCAATTTGCAACCATTTTTTCACAATAAGGCCGTATTTTTACCAAAAAAAATCCCTTAAAATTAATGCACACTTACAAAAAAATGGTTTAATATTTTTAAACTGGATATATTATAGTACTAATATTTTAACTTAAATGTAATTTTAATAAAATATCTGAATATTTTTTGAAAATTTTGATATAATTAAATCATTACAAATCTTTTTGGATGTAGTAAAAATATCTAAGAGAAATGAAAATCTTTGAAATTTTTTCAGACAAAATAAATTAATGCAATCAATTTGTACAATATTTACGATACATGCCTAACGACACATAAGTGATTCAATTAATTAATTCCTCGTCACGTAGACATCACCAAAGATCAATTTGCTTTCGCATCACAATCCGAGGAAACTTGGATCGTCTTTCGCATCGTGCTCGTAATAAAATGATAAATGATAGGTAGCTTGCCGTAGATATTGAGCGTGAAAGCTCATTCGATTGTTTTGCAAATCGCGCTGATAGTCACGTGATCAAATTCAATGGCTAAACAGTTAGCTAAATTCCTCTTGCGTGGCGTTACTTACCGGAAAAGTAGCATCAGACCTTGTATGAAGCTTTGGAAATTGTTGTGCCTCGTAATAGAGGTATCAGCATCCAGCTTGATGTTACCGAATACCTGAGACCCACAGAAAGAAGAGGGCCGCAGCCAAAAGCCACAAGCGGCATTATAAATTTGTGTCACCAAATATGCTTTTTTTTTTTAATAATAAAGAAACATCAAAAATAATTGGAATGTCCTCTGCTTTCTTTCTCGTTGAATGATCTAATTTTATCGCTTCGATCACGGTTTTGTGTATGCGTGTATAATGAGTATTATAGAATATTCAATTCTCTAATACTACAGTTTCTGATACTTTTTCTTTCAATAAAAACACGGTGTACTCGAGAGAACTAAGGTATAAACAAAATTTGTGGGTTAAAACAAATGATTAAATTACGTTAATTTATATCACTAAAAATTCTGATTTCTAAAAAACTTTATTTTAATAACATTTTAATAATTAATTTTTTGTGGATGATTTCATAGCGATATATCAGTTATAAACAAGTGTAAGTTTATAAAAGATTATACATTTGTGCGATAAAATATTAACTAATATTTATTATAAAATTCATTCTCTCAAGTACCACCTTAATTAAAACTTAATTAAGACTTTAACTTAACGCAGGCATCTATAGGGTTGTTACTAATTAGGATGAGTCACAACAGATTAACACGTCGAGCAGCTTATTCTCATGCCAGCAAAGCATTACTCTAGAGATAATTTACGACGATCACACTTTTATATATATTCTTTTCAACTTTTCAACTCTACGGTCGATGACATATCTTCCATCAGTATCGCGCGAGATCTTTAACAATGCTTCTTGGGGACCGGAAAAGAATGGCTGATGATCAATATATTGCAATCATACTATAAAACTATTTTCCTTTATAGAAAAATAGTTTTTTGTCATAAAATTTTTAAATGTTGTAAAAACACATTTAACGCAGTTTTTTTTATAATGATCGATATGAAAATCTTTCTAGACTTCCATAACATCGTAGATTCCTTTTATAATACAATATTATCCTGCTAAATCGTAAAAGATCGCGATGATAAACCAGCTGTGCATTAAAATCATTTCCCTCTCACATACCAAGATAAATTTTGAGCAAACAAATAAAGAAAAATCTTTTTTATTTTTAAAAGATAATAAAACCATTAGCTTATTTTAGAAAATGTTTTTATTGTACGAAAGAGAAATGATAATTGGACTAGCCGATAAGTCAGAGGTCATCTCATTTGTCGCCGTCAATCTAGCTGCTCGACTCATCGAAAAAGCAACATAAGATCGGCGAAGAAGAATTGAAAGTTATTGTAATCATCGATCACTATTTCCGGATTGTTCTGATATATTGCTAAAGACCTGACAACGGACAATTTCATGCCAGCAAAGGCAGGGTCACTTAATGGCTACCTGGGGGATCTGCTATCTGTCATTTAAAATTCTCAATCTGCAAGGTTACGCGTGCTGGAAACTACTTCGAGATCACTGTGACACGTTTCTCACCCAATTCGAAGCTGAGATAATTGCACGGTTCTCGTTTTTAGAGAAATATCTAAATGACATTGCACGCTAGTGATAGTTCTTTATTTTGTAGATAAGCCATCGATTTTGAAGATCATTGGTCAATTATGTTTCTTAATCAATTAAAGCTGCTATTTTTTCCGCACAGAATCAATTACCTACCAAAATCTTTGAAAATCTTTTCTGTATAAGACGACAAACAATTCCGTATCTTTCACGTAGAATGTAAGAGAAATATTATTCAATTTATGTATATGTCTATATAATATTTTTAATCTTGCGAAATTTCATTACATATATTTGCTAATTAAATTTCATTAAATGTTAATGCTAATTTTAAATCTTCTTTGAAAGATCATATTACTTCAATCCTGCACATTATCCCCCAAAAATACATTTAAAGAACAAATACGTAGGAACTTCGTGAGAAATCGAAGCTATGGAAGAGGATTCATACCTGCATACCGATGACAGCGTAGATGAAGAACAGCATTGCTATGAGAAGACAAACGTACGGTAGAGTCTGGAAAAAAATAGGTTTATTATTGTTATCTCGATAATTAATCCTAGAAGTTGATGATGAATGAAGCAAAATTTATAATGATCAAGGATATTGAAAGATAAAAAAATAATAACCGCTGTTGGCACGTATAAATTAAAGAGATACAAAATAAATTAAAAAATTAGAATTTAATTTAACAAGACGTGCTTACTTTAAAGGATTGTACGAAGGTCCGGAGTATCGTTAACCCCTGTTTTAGTAGTTTGAGCAGTCTGGCGGTGCGACAGAGCCTCAGAAAGTCGATGTTGAGGTTCTCCTGCAGGGGACAGAGAAAATTGCACTTAATGCCGATCCCACAAAATGCAGACTCCTTATTGCACGCCAGAACGAAGTTTCGTGCGTGCAATGTTTTGGCATTGCATATTACGCGTCGAAGGATATTAATCCTTTCGGAGTGCTATGTTTTTCTGTCCTCGACGATGCACGAACGAAACTATATAAACTGACATTCTCTCGAAGAGATGTAAAAACGAGAGCAATTAAAATCTTGATGAAATTGAAGATCATTTTAGGAATGCAAAATCACTGCCGAGAGAAACGTGGAGCTAATTTATTTTATTAATTTTTTTATATATATCAGTACAAATTTAAGTAAACTAAATTCTAAATCAATGTATTGATAATTCTCGAGTTTAATTATTTTAATGAAAAATATTTTACTGTAATAATTTAACTGAACTATTTTAACTATTGAATTGCAACGCAATTACGTATTTAAATTTCATTAACCCTTTTGCTGTAACGATTGAATCATGTTTCCGATTGTTACGTTACAAAGACAATTAATAACTTGAAATCGAGATAGATTAAATACCGCATCCATATGCCTTTAAAATATTGTTAAGTAATATAATTACATAGCGTGATAACTGTTTGGATTCATAGTATTAGTGTTGTAAAATGTTCGAGACTGTTAAATGTTAGTGTAATATACGAATAGTTTATGTATTCTGAAAAGTACATGCACAGGATAGATAAACGGGATAAAAGTGACTTAATCTAAAAATGATTTAGCAAAGGTCTCGAGAAAATACTAGTTTTAAAATTCAGTTCCCTCCTCTTGCTTGCAAATAATCACAAATGAAATCATATTAATCATCATCACCATTTTACCATAATTGCTAATATAGATATTCGAAAACAATAATATATAAAGATATCTATATCTGAAATAATAATTACAGATTTTCGAAACAGGAGTTATAAAGAATTTATTTCCGATTTCTACATAGAAACTTAGAGAGTCGCGGTATTTAATATTAGTTCTGTAGTTGCAATGTCGTAACTTCTTCCAACTTATGTTGTCAACATAAAAACTGGATAGTAATTTTATACCTTCTTTTCACCTAGCTGAATACACTCGGTCCTATTACAGAAATATATGAAATTGCGAGATTATTCCATCCCCAAATATTGAGCTTCTGATTGTTCAATTTTTCACTTTTATAATAATTACAATGAGAACAGAAATACTAATGACTGACAATCAACATTGGCGATGTGTAACTTCATAAGCAGTTTACTTTAGTATCAGGATCAATATTCACTTCACGATAATTCTAGCTAGTTTCTTACCTGTATTACTTCTAATAAAGACATATCTTTATAAAAAGATATTTTACAAGCACAGGCAGCAAATATATAGAGATTTTGACATATATTTATATCGAATATTTCTCTAACAAGAGGAGGAACAAGTAATGTACACACAAATTCATCTTTAAATATGTATATTTCAATACATATCATCATCATAATTCATGGACAAGTGGCATATTCAAGCAATATTCAAGTGTTTACGATTTGTATCGCGAAAGAATGCAAAAAAGAATGATTTTGGAATTTTTAATTAAATTGTATTACAAATCGATTATTCGTATGGTGGCAGATGTGTTAAAATATATATTGAAATAATATTACAGTTATAAAATAACATTTTTTTATATGCATTAATTAAATACTAATTATTCATTAAATGCATATTTCATAAACATTTACATAAAAAAAAACGCACGAAAACCTTTCGATGCAAATTTCTTGCGAATATTTAAATATTTTGTTATATTACTTGCTCAGATTAGTGAAGAGTACTAAAACATATTTAAAGTTAGATAAAATCTGTGGGTACACTATTTGGCTTTCCTCTTTGTGAGATTTGAAAATTAATATTATTCATATCCTACATATATTATCGGCTAAATTGTATTGCTATATCAATGGAATGGAAATAATCAACGTCACTATGTGATTTAAAGAAATATTTCGAGCAATACTCTATACAGTATTACTCTATACAGTATAATTAATATTCTATATAATATAGCTCCTATTCTATTTCCAAACAATATTGATTAATCTAAGTCACAGGATATCGGATATATCAAGGATATGTAGAAAGAAATGTTTTAATACGAAGAATGGAAAGGATTGGTATTGGGAACATGTTCCTGTTTATGTACATGTAGATGTTTCATTATATAATTGAGTAAATGTATACTGTGCAAATGTAATGTAATGTATGTAGCGTATGAATGCGGCACGAAGCTAAAAGGTAATACGTACAAAGGTGTTCGAGATACTTTGTAATTTATCTGCTAGTTCGTCACACGGACTTTGCTCGAATCTAAGTAAGCAGCAAAAGAGTTAAACGAAAGATAAAGGTATACATCAAACAACACTGCCATGACGATTAAGGGCCACTATTATAAATGTTCCGACAAAAAAGTGACATTCCAAATTCGTCTCAAACATAAGAATTAATGTAAGCATATTGAAACAGTCGCAATGATATGACATAATTAAAAAGTCTCGAAAATCTAAAATCTTACGATAATAATATATTTCTTTTAAATAAAAAATATATAATATGAAGTTCTTTGCATGCATAAATCTTTAATTAATAAACTTTTAATCTTCAATCATCAAGTCTCAACATATATTAATTATACATTTTTAAAGTAATTAAACATTCATTATAATAATGTTTTCTCTATGTTTTATACAATTAGTTATATCTGCCCTACATCAAATATATCAAAATGTAGCTTCTTATCTAATTTGTTTATGATATCATCATTTGCATCAACATAAAAGATCAATTCTGACATTTGATGCGACTTCGTCGGAATGAACTTTTCATCAGAGCAAGCAACTATCGTAATCACAGCCTAGCCTTGGGTTTCCTGGAAGATTCCCGATTACATATTTACATCTGGAAGATTTCTATTACGGGTTTTAGTAGCTAAAACGCAATTAACAAATTTATACTCTTTTTTCCTACGTTCCGGTGCTCTACATACCCCCAACTCGATCATGATGGCGTCTATAATGCTGCCGATCACCGTCATAAAATCGAAGATATTCCAAGTATCCTTGAAGAAGTTCTGCTCGCGGAAACAATCAAAAGAATTAATTAGCAAAATGATCTTATCATCCCCCAATTGAATATTTATTTCTACCCCGAAGCTCGCTAAACAGCTCTGACACATTTTCCATCGCAACAAATGCAAATCAAAACTTTAAATATCGATATACGATTCTGTACATGAGCAAAGTCAAGACACTAAAAACAAGAATAAATAAAAACTGCAAAGAAGAAGATTCAATACGCAATTAAAAATGAATATATGTAATTAGTGGATAATGTTTCCTAATTTTCAATTCTCTAATAACTTTTAATACCAAATTTTAAATTTAGGAAGTACCGCTCTAACTAAATTTTACACTTCCGTTTGTGAACGCTTATATAGTTCCGAATATAAACAAAAATATATATAGAAGATATATTCAAATACAATTTTGTTCAAAAATCATTTTGATATGTTTTATTAAAGTATTTCTTAAATATATGTATATACATTTATTATATATACGTACATATATATTTAAGAAATATTTTGATAAAACATATCAAAATAATTTCTAGAACAAAACCATATTTATTATAGTATATAAATATATATTTTATATATATATATATATATATATATATAATGTAAATATATTATATGTATATAAATATATATATATATATACACATATATATACACACACACACACACACATACATATATACATATTCAAGATTATTGCTTACCTCACTGTCGCTCATTCCAATTAGTCTTAACTGTAATTGCTTAGAAACTAACAAAACAACAGTTTAGGAATAAAAGAAACGCGAACTGGTACTTCAATGTTAAATAATTCTTATGTCTTCCATTCTTTTATAATCTTCTTATCCCTCATTATGTCTTGATCTATATAATAATAAATATCAATAATAAGCAATTCGATCAATCATTGATATGTTTCAGTACTCTATTGAACGAACTTGGGTGTAGTTCTAGTGTTTGTGAGATTGTTTGCGTATGACTATTACTAAAGAAGAAATGACTACTACTAAAGAACTACGAGTCCGACTTCAAGAAAAGTATACTATAATTTGCTTCTTTTGTGAATGTACGCTTTTTTGTGTAAAAGTGCCTGTGTGTGTGTGTATGTGTGTGTGTGTGTGTGTGTGTATGTGTGTGTATGTGTGTGTGTGGATGTGTGTGTCGTGAATATTCCTATTATGGATGTAATACTTATTAAATTGAAATTCTGTGTGTCTTTCTGAACGGTGCTTTTGAATATCGTAATGATCGTTGATTAGATCTTGGTCGTGGAATAAGAGAAGGAAGAAAAAATAATTACTAAATAGTTACTGTAATTAGGAAAAAATAGTGACTGCTTATTTTTAAAAGTAGAAAAATTTGAATTTTAATATTTAATACTGTTATACTTGAATTTAACGAATTAAGTAATGAATAAAAATATTTTCTATATTTTTTATTGTAGGAAGATTTCATTCTTAATTTTTACGTAATTACAATAAAATCATATCCATCGATGTTCAGTAACAAGTAGAATTTATTTACAAAATTTCATCCACGAAGACGAAGACATCTGTTCACAAAAATTTTAAAGCCCAAATCACATCGCTTTGGTGATCGATGATCAGCTGAAATGACGGGATCTCTTCTAGAGAAGTATCTATGAGAGCATGCCAGTAATAACAAGCAAACTAGAGAGAGTGAGAAAGATAGAGACACGCAAACTTAATATATTCAACTTTTTTCTACTTTCGCCAGAAAATAGAAACCGTCGCGTCGATTGCATTATGCAAATTATGCAAAATGTAAAAAACCAATATTGAATTAGCTAATTTTTATAAATTTTTTCTATGAAATTCACATCAAAAAACTCATTTTTCGATTTTCATACAAATTTTCTCAACAAAGTTTTATAAATAAAATATAATTTTTTAATAATTGTTGTATAAAAATTTTATTGAAACAATTCTTTTATAATTAATCAATGAGAGAAAAACTTTTATATCTGTTTCAAGCTTAATTATTCAAATTCTTTATTAAAGTCACTTAACAATAATTATAATAATCTTTCATATTAATTAATGTTAAAACAATCTGATATCTACTGATAAATCCTGCAATATTTAAAAAAATTCAACGATAATTTTTCAAGTAAATCCTACTTTCTGGCAACTGCTATCTTTTGAATACTGTTAATATGCCCATACTGTCAATCAAAGTACTGTAAGAATTTCATATTACACATACAAGTTTACTTTAAATCTTGATAAGTCTACTTAAGAATAAACTTTGAAGGTATTTTTTATTTTCGTGATAAACAGTTTCGCGATGTCTCAACGTGTTCCTCTAGCTAGTTTTTGGGATTCTTACTTTTTTCACGACCGGTCCTCCTCCGACCGGTAATATCACACAATTAATGATGATCGGTGAATGATGTCAGTCTCGATGGAGTTACAAGTAGTAAGAATTTGCAGTATAAGTCAAGTGAGAGTAAGATGGAATTAGAGCGATTTAAGAGGCTTGTTTATATCTTGTATCCGAAGGCGATGAGTTTAAGGATGTACTCAATGAGGAAAAGGAGAGTGACAAGTTCACGATGGTTAAGAAGTCCAATAAAATTACCGGCGTTTTGTGATACTATAAAATGTAGCCAACACACAGACATAACACACAACCCAGATTCTTATATTTTTTTATCCGCCCTGCATGTATATTTATATATGTATATCCCTTCGTCTTTTTTAAATTAATTTCTGTATTCGATCGCTCCCTTCATCTATTTTTCCCGTCCGAATTGAATATTGTTACTTGTAATTAAAAAAGAGATTTTTTTTTCCTTGAAGATATCAATGTTACTTAATTGAGAAATATACTTGTTAATTATTGTTCTCATTCTGCTATTTTTTTATGATTTTTATTTTTTAATCTTTCTTTAAGACTTCCGTTAAAAATTTATATTCAAAGATATATATAAAACTTTGTAATATGGAGAAAGATAAATTTTTGAATTTCAACTTTAATTGCTATCTTGTAAACTGTCAAGTTGTATTGTCTTAGTATTGTGAATTATAATATATTTCACTGCATTATATATCATAAATAAAACATAGAAACTATAATATATATACACCAAAGTATCTAAATATTATAAATACATTTCTAGTACATTATTAATTCTATTAAAAATGGCTTTAATGCAATTGTTCATTATATAAAACTATTTTTTATTAAAATAATTAAATTTGATCTTTATTTTCTTTTTTAATAAGAAGACATCTCTTCTTCCTATCAAATTACCAAATTCTAACCAATCTCTCACAGGAAGATTCTTCATCATACATGTGATACGTAAATCTCGATCAGTCTGTGTATGTAAAATACGATGTTCAATTCCGTGTGTGCCGAGTGTATGCATGTATGACACAGAAGATAATGCTTATTCCTACAACACAATGACATGCATGCGACGAATATAGCAGCGAAAAGCACTTTCACGACTTCTCGACTTTAGTTTCGTTGTGATTACCATAATTCATTGTCTTATTGTCATTGTCATCATCATCATCATTATTTTTATCTTTAGATGTTATTATTGTCATTATTGCCATTCCCAACCCATAATCGCAATCATAGTACTCGTGATGTATGCATGCGAAGATTAAAAATATCAGACCATGTAAGTGATTACATGCAAATACAGACAAGACATGCAGAGAATATCAAAAAGTAGCGCTTTCCTTATGTACACTTTTTCTTAACTTTCGAAACTTCCTCTTGAATTAATTTTCCACTCGTTCCGTTATTTTTATTTTGAAAAATTAAATCAAGCAAACGAAAGAAACAACAAAGAAAGAGAGAAGAATAAAAAAGATATAGAGAGAGAGAGAGAGAGAGAGAGAGAGAGAGAGAGAATTAAGAAGAAATAGATAGAAAAGCAAGAAAAACAAAACGGAAAATAATTCGATAAGATTTTTGTTCTCAATTCGTTCTGTTAAAGTATTCATGAGTGCCATATGAAGGTGTATGACGTATGAATCTTTATGTTTGTGTATTTGTAAGTGTAACTGTTAACTTTCTATGTCAGTGTACGTTAAATTATAAATTCTAACAGCGCATTTATGAATACTATTATAAGCTTGATTACACATTTTTTATCAGATACCAAACGTAACTGTAATGAAAATAATACGAAATATTACATTTTCACGGAGACTCACTTGAACATTTAATATTACAATCGAATATTTGTGTGTGCATGTGTGCGCGCGTGTATATGTGTGTAACAATCAATATCTATATTTTGCAAATATTCGATTGTAACTTGAATTTTTTTCAGTATTTTATATAAAGTCTGTGTGTAATTAGCTTATTGTGATAACAGGATAAAAAAAGAGTTAATATTATAAAAATACAAAAATTAATAAAAATAAAAAATGCAATACTAAAATCACAATTAATGATTTAATCCCGTTATTACTGTGTTCAATGTAATTCAGAAACCTGAGATTTTCATTATCTTTAATTGTAGCATTTAACGTATGAGTAATAAATATATTATATTTCATATCTAAAATTCTTTTTTTGGAAAATGAAATAAATACAACTCTGATTCAATTATATTGTTTGTGTCTGATCAACTATGATCTTTATATTAAATACAAAATCAAAGTTTCACAGTAATAACCACAGTGAACAAGAAAGTGTAAACTTTACTAAATGAATAATATAGTTCAAAAGCAGATGACTTGAAAGCTGATGAAAATATTGTATTTTTTCTATCTACCGAATTTTCAAGAAAGAAATTCGAATTTGGAAGTAAAAATAAAAAGATGTGATATTTAGATCTTGAGTCTTCCCAGATTGTTCTGAAGCTCGATTATGTGTACAGAGCTGAGCATTTTTTGCATACTAAAATACTTGTAGATTTCATTGATACTATTCCAAGTACAGAAACAAATATGAGTAATGAAAAAAAATTTCTAGATCTTGTAGCTAAATCCTTTCTCAGAGGAGCACGAAAAATACCATTCTAGTTCTATCGAGATACATATTCGTACGAAGATATATCGAGAAATGGAAACGTTATAACTACTCTGATAGCATCTAGCGTTTGTTCAGCCCTGCGCACAAAAAATTCACTAAATAGTATATTTTATATATTTGTAGAGATATACACGCGTGAGATAGAATATACGGATGTCTCCGGAGTACCAAAAGTGTTCCGATAAGTCATATTGCTACATCGGTACTCATGAAGAACCACTTATAATTATCTTCTAACAAGCGGCACTTACCAGACGACGCGAAAAATAACTCTCTCGTGATATTCCTCCACATTCCATTGTTACTAAAATTGTTACAGCAATTTTATCATTATGAATCATTTTAAGAATGATTGAAATTTTTTCTGATTTTTATGAAATTAACGTTACGTATATAAAATATGTTCAATGCCACATTATTTTAACGTTTATTAATTATCTCGATATGTCAATTCTTTCGACAACAGCTAGAGATTTTTGAATTTCTTCAGGCTTCCAATTTTGTGGAACAATCACGAGGAGCCACCTTTCACTCGACTTATTGAATTAAATCTCGCTTTACTTAGAATATATTGAGTTCGATGAGAGAGGGATGTTTGGCGGTATATGGAGCCTACCTTCACGCCGAATGCTGCGATCTTCAGTACGCACTCGACAGTGAACATCCCCGTGAAGAATATGTTCATGTACTTCAGGATGTTCTCGTATAATTCGCTTTGCTGATAGAACTGCAATGCATACACTGACAAACACACAGCCGGACAGACAGACATACGTACGTACGTACAAGTTTTAATCGTGTGTCTCGCTCTTTTTCTTTGCTTTCTTTCGGCATGACCTTCTTCTTTCCTCTGATCATCGTGAATGAGGACGAAAGAAGTGGCTCTTTCCTTTTTTTTTTACGAAATTCTGTGCACCGATACATGAACATTCTGTGCACAATATATTGTAAATCAGGGTAACCGCACCAGCAAGATTAACTATTGTCTTAAAAACAGAATGAAGTACACTGTGAAACCATCAAATATATTAAATAAAATTTATTTAGTAATTTTTCCTGTTGATTAGAAATTTTAATCATGGTCAATAGAATCAACTTACAATTAGTGTTTAAAAACTCAAATAATTTTATATATAACATGATTATACATATAAAAGAAATTATACAATCTGTATTCTTTTACATAGAATTATTCTTGCTGAAGCATTATCACTCTTCATGCCGTTTTATTCTCATAGCACTGTAGAAATTGCAACAAATACAGAATAATGTCAAATAATATCAAAGTAAGTTGTCGAGGTAAGAATAAAAAAGTATAATAAGATTTCAAATAAATAAATCGCGTTCTGCTCGAGAATGATTCGCGGATCATGTTATGTGTCAGCTTTTGGGTGTCACGAATTGGTACACAGTTTAGTCGTACATACGTACGAAGTGTAAGATAAAGTGCGAGAGATACATGAAAAGTTACGTATATGTAAAAACGTAGTGATGTACACCTATATATTCGTAGAATATAGGGAGGGAGACATTTTTTTAACGTCGTCGTGTACTTATACGTGTACAAGCCTAATCGGTATGCGTGTATATTAAATGAAACGTTTGTTCTCTTACATTCCTGCGATATCAATTCATCTTTCGACGGTGTGGTGCATATGTTAATTATGTGTACGTGATTAATTAGTACTGTAATCTGCACTTCGCGTTGTATATCTATTTAATTAAACTATAAGAGATATCAGGTGTGTACTAAGATAACTGATCGACTGATCTTCTGGAATTCTGGATCAATAGATTGTATTATATATAGGGAATTTTCTAACTCTGGACTCTGTCGGACCCAATGACAAGAAAAAAATCGTTTAATGTAACACAAGTTTCAAAACAAGATTTTTTCTGTATTACGTATTTTAAACATTACGGCGACGAAGAAGGGTCTAGTGGATTCAAATATTTTTTTTAAATACGTTGTAAAAAATTGTTTATAGCAAACCTTACATAACTTTAAGTTACATAATCTTATTCTTTAGATTTTAACCTTCAATAAAAAAAACCATTCAATTACATTAACCTTAAGTAAAGATACATCAATTTAAAATGTAGGAAATTTCGGAGCAAATACCAATCAGAGTTAAACATGTACATATCTAAACAATACATTTTACTTATACTTGTGAGATAAAAATTAAATCTAATTGTAAGTTAAAACATGAAACATTTAATATTGATGCAAGTGTTAAGTGAAATTTAAGCTTATCATTAAATCAATTGTAAAAAAATTAATCTTTCTGTCATTGTTTTTCATGGAATTGTGGACCGTAGGTTGAGCATATATCAGTGTCTGAAGAAACTAGACGCAGAACTGATAAAGACCGAAAAAAGAAGGAAAAAGAGAGAAACACAGAAAGAAATGATCGAAAAAAACCTAAAATACAATCCAACAAAGACACTTAAAGTGAATGGATTTCTGGAACGAAAAGAATGCAGTTCAATTAACGAAGGGATCGTCAGAAATTACGAAACTTCACTTTTCGGAATGCTCTGCAATCTTTCTTTTCTGTACGAGGGAAGAGGGGAAACGTGCGGACGTGAGTCTCGTGTATTTCTTGTCATTGTTAAACATATTCAGCAGATATATCTAATGTTATTGCTATTTCGTTCAGCTGTCAGTTTGAGCAATCTGTTTTGGCGACAGCCAGCATGCGACACGCAGTTTTGCACATGTGTGAGAAGTATAGGTGGATACCCTATATGTATATACATATATACGTACATCGTATCAACCGTCAATGTGTCGAACGAGAAGACAATTAATTATAATCCAAATACCGAACTGGTTAATTTGCATTAGATTATATTTCATATTTGCATTAGATTATATTTCATATAGTAATAAGTAAATATATTATTAATACATTACATATTATTAATTATTATATCTGAGAGAGATTAAAATGATTAATTTTGTGACTTCAAAATAAAACATCATTTAGACCTGGTTGCATCAACGTTACTTTAACTTCAAGCAAGACTTAAAACTCACTTTGTCTCGTTTTAAAGCGAAAGAAAGATAGAGATAGAGAGTTTTAAGTCTTGCTTAAAGGCAAAGTAACGTTGGTGCAATCGGGCTTTACAGATAAAAATTCCTTTTAATTATTAAATCACAAATTATTATATTCATTAATTATTTCAATCACAAGGGACAATATGTTTTCACATAAAATATTATGTACATAATTCTGCTTTTACCAATTTAATTTTTATTTTTTCTTTCACGAATTTTCCTTTAAAAAAATTTCGAAAATATGCAGAGCGTTTTTTTATAAGAACAAAACATTACTGTCTTCTCGCTTGTATGCTGAGCAAGGTGAACACATGATGTTTCATTTGATACGTGCTCTCAAGATCAAATGCAGTGCGTGTGCAAGTAATCTGAACACATTCTGTGTTTTTTTTCAGGCAAACAGGTCCGATCACAAATCATATAATCGGGCGTTGAATATGGATTCGAATTAGCCTAATATGTATATGTGTGTGAATGTTTCTAATTCGGTTCTAATTTCAAGCTCAGACTGTGATCTTGTTTAAGAAAGACAGAAGAACGAGAATAGATATTCATCTCGTGCGTTCAACTGTACAAATCATAGGCATTGGAAAGCAAACGAAGAAACTCACAATAGAATACAGGATTCGGCTCAAGACTGAAAGTATGCACGAATCCGATTAATTCTCTCTCATGAATTTACATTTATTTTATTCTAATAATAGTGGATTAATAGAATTTGAGAGTAAATCAAATTAAAGAAAACTTGTAAAAAAGATAGCGTAATTAGTAATAATAATATCTAATTATTAACAGTCGGACAATTAATGAAATTCAAAGAATAAATTCTTGATTTATAGCTCGAGTTAACATTCATATCAATTCAATCGTTGTTATTAAATGAAATAAACAGTATAAATAAGACAATATAAATAAGACAATATAAACATTTTTTTATAATTATTGGTAATTATTAAATTAAGAAAAAAATTTTTTTCTTGGTTATTCAATCATTGTAAAATTTTTTAAAAGTTATAATTATTTTTGTTATTAAAAATTAACAAATATATTACTTTCTTTATATTATAAAAATTATTATTAATTAATACAACTACTGTTAATAATATAATTACTTTTATTTAGCTAAAAATTTAATTATTTGATCTTATTAAAAAAAAACATTAAGGTAATTTACCATTTTAATAATAAACTATACATTAAATTTTCAAAGTTTTTAAAAAAATTATTATTATTACATTTTTACAATAAAAAATTTGAATATATAAAAAATATGTATATATTATATCATATATTTTTTTATTTATTTTATTATATGTTCTCATATTTAACTGTAAATTTAATTTTGCGATCTTGCGATACAAAATATTAATTTCATTTGCACACTGCAAATTTATAAATGCATGCAAAGTTATTACAATAAGTCTCTCAAAATTACATGTAATGTTGTAATTATGCATAGAAATTTTTTACAATATTAAAAATTTTTTATGCATAACTACAACATTTTGTGCATAATAAAAGTATTATTATGAATATTGGCGTGCGAGAGACACCGGGATATCTCGTATTAGTAACAAATGCGTGAGTCAGCGAAAGGACACCGCGAGCCCGCATCACATCCAATTACGCTTTCTCTCTCAATCGTGCGCCTTGCATTAAGGACAAAATATCAGAGTGCCTCCTACTATTTTCTCCCTTCGCACTCCTCGCCCCCATCGCGTTTCCAGTAACACGTACGTGTACGCTTCAGTACAAGTGTGCAGCGCCGCGCGCTGAACACCAGGATACACCATTCCTGCCGATGCGTGTACACGTATTGATAAAATACAAGGATGATACAGTTATATAGAGAAAACAATCAGAAAAGGTCAGCAGGCAAGAACAACAATGTTCTCATAAGTATATAACATGATATATAAATATGGTACAGTCTTTCGATATTACGTACTTTACTTGGACGCGACATATTCTCGTTTCTTCGTGACATGATCTCGAGTATCTTCGTTATATTAACAAAAGACGAGACTGTCAATTAGTTAAAGTTACCGATAGACCTAATGGGTCTTATATCAAGAGAATGCACGGATATTAAACTGGAAACGCGCGATAAATATCGCAGGACGCAAAGATAAACGAGCGATACATCGCAATACCAGAGTTAAGGCATAAGTTTATTTTTAAGTAAAAAACTATGTCAAATGAATTATTTTCTTCTTAAGGATGTTACACGTATTGTTTTAACAAAATAGAAAAATTATAATGAAATTACAGATTTTTTTATATTGTATTTGAAAATAATACAAAAACTTTGACAGCGATTTAGAATCTAAATTAAAAAATTATTTTAATATAAAGTAAACATGTTTTTAAAAAATTAATTAAAATAAAATGAGAAAATTTTCACTTAAACTATAAAATTATATTGCTAAATGTGTTGCAAATCAGTATTTGCTTTTATATACAGAAAGTATAAATTTCCAATTTTAGTTATTTCATAGAGATTGTACCTGATATACATCTTTAAGAAAAATATTTTTCTCTGAGAGAAATATTTTGTCCTGATTTCAAAAAAGAAAATAAAGAACACTTTCTCTCATCTATGTATAAAAAAAAAAGAATAATAATTTGCACTTATGCCTCTTTTGATATGGGACCATGATATGAAAAACCGAAAACAAAACTGGCCACAAAGTTTATAAAAATCCTTCTGAGTTGCTTTTTATTATGCTCAAAAAAATTTTTATAAATCTTGATACGTATAAATTTTGTTTTCGATTACTTGCATAAAAAGGTTCATATTTCAAAACACTTAATTTTTTTCGTTATTCGCGTTTCCTAATCGGGGAAAAAAACTGATAATCTGATTAATAAATCTCTCTAAAGAAATTGCAATGCAAGAGAGAGATCGTGACACTTACCTTCATCATAAGCAATACTGCGTTCAATACGATGAGTATCATGATAAAATATTCAAATGGCGTAGATACAACTATCCTCCAGATTTTGTACTGAACGCTATTCCGCTCCTTCGGCATATACCTCTCGAGCGGACGAGCTTGTATTATAAAGTCTATACATGATTTCTGAAAGATTAACACGGAATTATCAATGTCTGCATTAATGTCTGTGCTAAAAAAAATGTCATATAGCACATATATTGTCTAAAATGTAACGAAGATAAAAATTAAAATAAAGAAAAAATTAAAACATAAAGAGCCAATAAAAATTAATATATATGAAACAATATTTATATATTTAAATTGTTCATATATAGAAACAATTATTTAATTTATGTATATAATAATTCTATATATTAATACATTTTTCATTTTAAATAAAACTAAAATTTTAATGACGCTTGAAGAATGACTTCATATTTTTTAAATTTATCTTTTTCATGAAGAAAGCTAATGAAGCGCAAATAAAATTAATTCAAATGAAAAAATAAGCATAAGAAATTACCTGATTTTTATCGATTTCACCATCCTGCAATTCAGCTTCTCCCTGCTCCTGGAATGTGATGATAATCAAGGCCACGAAGATGTTGACGAAGAAGAATGGAAAGACGACGAAATAGACGATGTAGAAAATGGACATTTCGATACGAAAGTTCTGGATAGGGCCATGGTTCTCGTATGTAGCCGCCATCGAGTTTTGCAAGATCTGTGGCCAGCCTTCGCCGGTCTGGACAGCGAATAACGTCAGCATAGCCATCAACACGTTGTCGTAGTGAAAGCACTGGGATTCCCACTTCCGAGGCTTGAACTTCGGTAGTATTTCACCCTCCTCGAAAACGAAGAAATAACCACTGTCGCGAAAACAAAATTAGTCTCCATTTCTACTGACACCACTTGTAAAAATATAATTCGAGAATCAGTATGAAACAAAGAACTTTTTTTTAGTTTCACATTCATTTGCTTATTTAAAGATATATTTATTTGCTTACTTATCAAAATCAAATGTTCTTTAATTATTATTAAATGTAATATATTTATGCGTTCTCTCTGAAATGCTTTTGTTGATAAGTAGAAGCAAGAAGATCGAATAATATACTCAAATAGTATACTTACTTGCAATCCTCTACTTTATATTTGCTCTCATCGGTGCAGTGGGAGAATTTACCGTTAAACAACTGCACCGCAATTACGGCGAATATGAATTGAAATAATATGTACACTATGAGAATGTTCATGACATTCTTGAGACTGTTTATCACGCAGTCGAATACCGCTTTGAGCTTCGGCAAGCGCTTTATTGTCTTAAGCGGTCTGAGTACTCGCAGCACTCGTAGTGATTTGATGCTCGAAAGATTCTGGCTGACCGTAGAAGAGCTATCGAGTATGTCAAAGACGATTAACACCATAGCACATATCACTACAATCGCGTCCATAATGTTCCAGAACTCGCGCAGGTATGAGCCCGGGTGCAGTATGATACCAAGATCGATGATTTTCAGCACCATTTCGATGGTAAAGACGCCGGTAAACGCGTAATCGAAGTAGCTGAGGATCTTGTTTCTTTTCGCATCCTGTACAACAGGATCCTCGGCGGCCAGCGCGATACTCGACAACAATATCACCAGCATTATAAAGAAGTCGAAATATCGAAAGTTCACGATCCAATGGACACCTCTTCTTATGCTGCAAACGGATTATTCCATTACTTTGACGAAAGTAACAATCTCATTCTTAAAATAAAAAAAATAATATATTCAATACAATGTTAAAATACATTAGAAAATATCTAAATAAATAATATTAGGTGTTGGAATTAATTCGTAGCGTTTTACAAGTGATGGGAAGTACTTTCATTAATGTATTTTTTAATGCTCATGTGAAATAAATAACATTCTTTCATTAAAAACGCTACGAATTAATTCCAACACCTAATAGATAATTAATATGATAGATAAAAGTAGATCAAATGTCTGCTGCGCTTTTTAATTTATGTGTAAGTGTCATCTGATTTTATTTAATAACATTGTGATTTATTATGGTGTTTAATATTCTTGGGAAGAATTTCCGAGCGATCGAATTATTATTATTATTATTATTATTATTATTATTATTATTATTATTATTATTATTATTATTATTATTATTATTATTATTATTATTATTATTATTATTATTATTATTATTATTATTATTATTATTATCATCAACACTTACGGATTCGTAGGGGACAGTATAAACATGGAGGAGTATGGCAGCATTGGTTTTGGTCCCGTGTCGTCCTGCCTCCTCTCTTCGGATGTCTGGGTTTCAATTTTTCCGTCTCTGCTGGAAAAGACGAAACGTTGTTCTCCATTTTGTGGCTCTCCGTCAATATTGCGTTTTTACATTTTTTAATCTATATTACGTAATTATCAATTTTTCATTAAATAATTACGAATAATTATTAATAACTATTAACTTTATTTTATTATGAATAATTAATCACTTTGTTAAAAAACAATTTTGCAATTAAAATATGCACAAAGTCACAACATTTATATATCAAAGATCCTGTGAAATTTTCTATTTTACCTCACACAAAAATCTTATTTAAAAAAATATTATTTTCTATAAGTACGAAACGTCAAGAAAAGACAAAAACTTTTACAAAAATGGCAAAAAAAAAACTTACAAATTCTGCGTTGGAGGGCAGATTTCCGTCCTCGGTGCGTCCGCGGGTCTCTGCAAAGATTCGATCTCCTTCTCGAGTTCCTGCAGCTGTTTTTCCTTATCCTCCTCCTGCTTCTCCTCCTCGGCGGCGCTTAGTTCTTGCGCGTTCGCGAGATTGTCAACGGCGATAGCCAAGAAGACGTTGTAGTTACCGAAAAGCATCAGCACGATGAAGTAAACTGAATAGGCCATGCTCTGCGACTCGATACCCTTATACATCACTTCGTTCCAGTCTTCTCCAGTCAAGATCTATATTGTAATCATTATTAATTATTACATTAATCGAATATTTTTTAGTTTAAGAAACATCTAATTTTTTATCATTCATTGAACAATAATTATTTATTATTAAATACGCAATTTCCACTGCATATAAAGTTTAAAAAATTATACTTTCACTGTGGATATATTTAATGTTTATTTATATTATAAAGTATACGAATTACATAGCTATTTTTCAAAGGCTAGCGACTATAAAACGAATACTTTTCTTGCTATATCTTTTATTTATATTTGGAACAACTAAAGTGTATAATGCAATAAAATTAGGTCATATTTGTTAAAAGATCGATTATAATTCATTTACAGTAACAAATAAAAATCGTAATAATAATTGATTATACTCACTTGGAAGACAGTGAGTAGTGCAATGGTAAAGGTGTTAAAGTTAGTGGGCGGCGTGCCACCTTTGAAATTGAATTGGCCACCGAATAGCTGCATACCGAGCAGCGCGAATATAAGGATGAAGAGGAAGAGTAGGAAGAGAAGGGAAACGATGCTGCGCATCGAATTTAGCAGCGATATCACGAGATTCCTCAGACTCTTCCAGTATTTGGTGATCTTAAAAATTCTCAAGAGTCTAAGAGCACGTAGGACGGAGAGGCCGAAAGAGTCACATCTCAACTCGAACCAGATCACCTCGAAGATCGAGGCCGAGATGACGATGCAGTCGAAGCGATTAAAACTCGATTTGAAGTATACGCGAGGACCGAGTGCGTAAACTTTTATGAACATCTCCATCATAAAGAGCCCCAGGAACACAAACTCTGCGAAATCTACAAATAACAAAAAATTAAGTTAAACTGGAACTCTTTAGTTCTTGAAGAACTTGAGCCTTTTAGATACAATAAGTTTTCGTTACACTGAAATCCTTCAAATTTTAATGGGTTCTGAGGTGAATTTTTCTCAGAATTTTTCAGAATTTCTATATAATTTTTCAGAATTTCTTTATAATTTTATAACTCTCACATTTTTTTATATGAATTGGAACATTTCTCAGATTTCTTAATTTATCTTTTCTTAGAAATGTGCTAATCATGAAATATCATAAGATTTTGAAGATTTTTTGTAAATATAATTTCTGAAATGTTATAACATTTAAAAAATTAAAAAATATTTTTTAAAAATTATGGGATTTCCAGAATATTTCAGAATTCACTTGAAAAATTGTGAGAGAAGATGTAAACTTTCCGAATATTTTTGAGTATTTCTGAAAAATATTCTAGTTCGTATAAAAATTGAGAAGAATTTTCACCAGAATTGACAAACATAATATCCTTTATAATATAAGCTAGTTTTATAAATCAAATTTTTACATACTAGATATAATGTGTATTTTTACATTAAATAGAGTAATGAAATTAAAATTTTGGAAAACTCACAGAGAAAATCGGTAAGCCATTTGGGCTGATTGTTATGCACGACGGCCACGCAAACGGTGTTAAAGAACACAAGAACGATGACGAACCAATAGAACTGTTGCGACTTGACGGAATTACGTATCCAAAATCTGAATCTTTTCTCAGCTCGCCAAAACTGTAGGCACGTGCCATGCTTCTTCAACTTCTTAAAGTAGGAGGCTCTCGAGAATCCTACAAAGTTTAAAATACTTCTTCAACATGAAGTTATTAAAACATTTAAAACAGATTTAATAGTTTACAGACCGGTTGATTGTCAAATTGAATATCGTATGTATTTTTATTTTGATATCAATTATACATTTTTACTTTTACTTTAGAATTTTTTTACACTATGTCTACATCTTCACGTTTCGTACTACTCGCTAAACTATTTCTGAAACTATAATATAAAAAATCCAAATTATATGATCTAAAGCATGATAGTCTATGTTAAAATCTTGAAGTTTTTAAACATTATGACATTCTTGTGGAAGTTTTGAGGATAAATCGCACATATTAGGGATCCCTACACAAAATATATAAGCATAGCATAGCATAAAACCATCTGGACCAATGAGTATCTACTATAAGATTGTCATATTAACTTATTAGGTACTAAACTTAGTTTCCGCGGCTCACATTTAAACGCTAGTTGTAAGTGTAATTTACTTTAATATCTGAAGCTGACTGCATTTTAAAGATTAGACATTTGTCAATAAAATTCAGTGCGAAAAGATTCATTTAAGCGAATAGTGCCATTTTTTTAACCGAAAATGTTATTGCGATATAATCGCTTAAACATCTCTATTTCTCTGCTCGCCAGACAAAAAAAAATTTTTTATGGCGCATTGTAACTAGCAATAAAAAATGGATCTATTTTAATAATCCCAAACGCAAAAAGGACCCTGGCCAATCATCAAAAGCGAAATATCCATGATCACAAAGCAATTTGGTGGGATAGGCTTCGTTTACTACGAGCTACTCAAACCAAACGAAGTATCATGGGAGATCGATATCAATTACAATTGAACCGTCTGAATGAAGCATTGTTGGAAAAAAGGCCAGCAGTAGCCAACAATCGACACAAAGTTATGCTTTTTTGCATGATAACGTTCGACCACACGTTGCAAAAGCCGTCAAGGAAACACTGATGCAGCTCGAATGGGAAGTTCTCCCGCAACCAGTGTATTTAACTCCTTCAGACTATTACTTGTTTCGATCGATGCAGCACGGCTTGGTGGATACACAGTTCAGACATTACGAGGATGTGCGAAAATAGATGAATGGATTGCTTCAAAAGACCAATCGGTCTATCGTCGCGGAATCCACTTATTGCCACAAAGATGAGAAAAAGATATAGCTAACGAGGACAAATGCTTTAATTGATGCATTTTTTGCTTTTGACATCGAGATGAGTTTTTTAAGAAAAAAAACCGTGGAAACTAGTTTAGTACTTAATACATAATATGCTCATTGATCTAGACAGCTTTATGCTATGTTTATGCATTTTGTGTTTTGGAGTTTTGGAGTTTTCACAGTCAGAAAAAGAAATCAAACACTTCTAGAATTATGTATTAATTGGAAGAATCAGAAAATTCTATTTATTTCTGATTCAACAAAAAATAGATATAAAAATAAATACACAAAGTTCTATACTAAATTAAATATTCTATCAAGCAATTATTATTACGGTACATATGTATGTGTACATATTGTGGCTATTTATTACTATTACTATATGTGAACAACAGGCTGAAATTAGCCTATCAAACTCTATAGGACGGGATTAGTACATTATTCAGGGGATTCAATTTCTCGTTTGAATACTAAATATTCCACTGTTCTGTTAACTTTAACTAATTAAAATTATAACCGTATAAGTGAATAATAAAAACATTAATCACAGCATTCCACTATCATATGGTACACCTAAACAGTGTAGAAATATTTCCGCCGGAAACATTGGCACTTAATATATATATATAACGTTATATTATCAATTGTATTCCTCAACTAATTTTATGACTCGCAAAAAAGTGTCCATAATATAACAATTTAAATTTTCATAAATTTTTTTCTTTTTAAATTTCATTTTTGCTTGTTTTTTAATTACTTCACGCTTCCAGAGGAAATTGTTGGTTGATATAACATAGGTTCTGACTATTAAAAAATCACGTATCCTTACTACTTGAACTCAAGTTCGTTCGAATATCCTGAAAAAGAATCATCAACTTAAAATGTAAAAGAAGTGAACAAAAAGAAAAGAATACTCGGCATAACTGGACACCAAATTGACCAAATACAACTCACCATCGTCTTCGCCGTCTTCGCCTTCCTCCTCCTCTGTATCAGTGCTCTTGCTCTTGCCAAGATTTTTCAACTTTTTTTTCTTTGCCGCTGCTTTTTTTCTTGCTGCGCAAAATAAAAAGGTAAATTAAGCTATGTAAAACTTCATAAATTATGACCTAAATAATCTTTTATTGAAAATATGTAAATATCATGTCAGATTTCGAGAAGTATTGATAAAATTATGAAAGAATCACAAATTGCAGAGTAATCATATGTTGCGATGTATGATATTTTGTGATCAAATGTGCGCATAAATTGTATTATTAAATTATTTCTAAAAAAAATTTACACACAATGTAACATATGCAAGAATGACTTGTTACTTGTAAAAAGCAAAAAATTACATTGATTGTTAATCCGGCTATTAATAAAATTAATTAAAATTACAAAAATATAGGAATGTCTTGTTTAAAAATACAGCATTCGATGCATTGCTAAAAAGAAAAAACTTGAAAAATTAAATTTGATTGTGTCAAAAGAAATACGAGTGTAAGTGCACTCTGAGTATATAAAGCACTTTATATAAATATGTATACGAGCATGTTTCGGAATACAGCTCGCTTCGCAAATCTTTTCAACTTTATGGAAGTAAATATTCATGATATCAAAATAAATTGCATTATATGGACCTTTTAATATGTACATTTTCTCCTCTTCCGTGGTCCTCTCTTCGGCGAGTATCACCTCCTCTGAAAAGTAAATATTACGTAGCAGTAATTGATATTACGTGTATTATATACATGAAAAGCAATGCTTGGAAAGTCTAGCATACGCAGTGAGCTTTTGCAGACACATTGTTTACAAAATAAGTGAATTAAAATAGATCGATAAAAAAATATACATATTTAATCTTTTTGGCAATGTGAAAATGAGATAAAGTTGTACAAACCTATTCTTTGTCATTTGAAGAACAGTAAGTAATTTTTGAGGCGTTGTAATGAAATTCAAACAATATAAGAATTTTTATTGTTTCGATATCAGCACTCGGGTACCCATGCATTGACAGAAAACTAAGAAATTTATTATTTAATTTTCAGAATTACAGAAAGATTATAAAATATAAAGTACATTTATTACAATTATTATTTTTTTCTGTCAGTTTTCAGTATTATATTATTTTTGAGGCATTATTTTATATGCGATTATTTATTTTATAATATCAATTATTTGTTTTATAATATATATATATATATTTTTTTTTAACAATGAGATTTTTTTTAATGTTTGCGAAATGAATTCCGTTTAATCTTTTTTAATTCACGTATTTTGTCGGCAATTATTCTAACCTGCTTTGCAGATCCAATTGAGATAACAATTCAATTCGCGCTCAAGCTGCTGCTGTCTTCGTAACATCAGGAAGGACTGCCGGTTCTCCACCTTTTCTCTCTCCTTCGCAAACTCTCTACAAGTGTGATACAGATAATATGGTAGCTTATTCAGGAGTATGAAAGCTAAGTTTAGAGGATTTTCAGGCATTCCATCGTTAATATTCTAACCTTGTTTAATAAATCAACAATATTTACTCATTTAGAGGAAATGCCATTGAGAGCATTAAAAAAGAAATTTTTTTTTGTTTATTCTTTCGTAGAATTCTTCAAATTAGCTTACGCATGGGAATCATGTACCATACGCGAGATTATATGATGGATTCATTAATTATACTTTAATTTCTCTTAATCAAAATTTAAAATATCTAGTGCTAATTAAATAGGTCTAAAAATTCATTTCTATAAATATATAATTTGCATCGTATTCTCATCGCGTGTTTAGTATTAAAAAATTCCTATTTTTTTTCACACATTAAAAGGCATATATAATCTTATATGTATAATATTAATAACAAGTATCATATCATTAAAGATATTAAATCAGCTGTAATTTACAAATGAAGGAGTGCTAAAAAAATTTTTTTAGCAAAAAAAAAGATAAATAATATTTAAGATTATTAACTAATTTTACTACAAACTAATATATTTAATTTATTTTATACTTCTAATCTCACGGCAATGATGAATAAATTAAAAGAATACGATTTATTGCTCACTAATGTCAGGCAACGTCTGTTAATTGAAGATCTGCTCGAGTGATTTTAAGAACTGAACGCAGTGGTAAAGAATCGTTTGCTCTTCGCTTTCCGATAAGCTGCCCGTTGTTTGAAGCGCGGTCTTTCATTAGAAAACTCTCTGATGAGGAAAGAAAATCATTCTGAAATAATGAACCTCGCGATCTTGCCGAATGGGAGACGCGATTGTCGCTTCAAAAAAAATTATCACTGAGCGGAATGTTATCAGGAGAGACACATACTCACCCGCTCAAGACACCAAGAACTAAGTTCAGCATGAAGAATGATCCAAGGATGATCAATGGTATAAAGTAAATCCAGTTGTACCTGTTGCCAATAGCGTCATTTGTCTGCAAATTCGATCGGAATCGATATGAAGACAATAATGTCGCGTATATATGCATATGTATCGATAACACAGTCGAAGGTACATTAATTAACAGCAATAGTTATATGTAATACAGAGGCACTGGCATTCTAATCTCGCTATATCAAACACGATGTGATAAATGTAATCGTCCGAGTGTGAGAGCTCAAATTTATTTATCATTATTCGATAATATTCATTTCACAAAAAAAAATTTTATCCCACATGAAGGGAAAATCTGATATAAAAAAACATCATAGATTAAAAATTTGTCGATCACATTTATGCAAGACAACATCGGCTTTATGAAACTTCAGTATCGCTGGTGGAAAAAGAATAAGACAAGAGAAACATGCCATTTTTTTATAATGAGAGAAATTGATTCAGATTATTTGTTACATCTCTCTACTCGCTACTTGCTATTTTGAAGAAGAATCTACAGGTTTTCAAATATTTAACAGGTTGACTGCGATGATAGTCACCAGTTAAAATTTTTTAAAACGTTTATAAAAACAATCATATAATAAATAAATCCATCAATATAAAATTTTGAATAACTATAAAAGATAATAATAAAAGATAATAATAATAAAATAAAAAGTCCGTTGTTTAACACACCATCCATGGGGATGTTTGTCTCATTTAATCATATGATACAATATTTTATTATTATCACGCTTGTGATATTATGAGAAAATTCTCCTGTGGTATATACAATAAAACATTCACAAAGCAGACAACGTGTTAAATTAAGATATGTCGAAATTTATAAACTCTAAACTATTAATTTAAATTAAAAAACTCTTTCTCTCTCTCTCTCTCTCTTTCTCTACATCTTTTGTTTTTATAAAAAAATCTCCAAATATATATATATATATATATTTTCGAAGCATGGCATTTTCTTCCGACTGATGTTTTACCGTAGGCTACTCTATATTACAAAAATCGATGAAGCAATCGAAATTTTTCCGAGATTTCAGTAAATAAATATACGATTATGTTACAGACGATGGAATTACGTTGAAGGGTTTCGAAATCTATTGTTTACAATGAAATATAACAATAAAATACTGTGAAATCCTCCATGATCCATTGACTGAACATTAATCCTTTCGTAATCAACAAAAAAATATTCTACTAAAATTCTTTTCCTTTTAACTCATATTATACATATTTAATTCATATTATAGCATTAAAAGATTGAAAGTTACTTTTATGTAATTTTAAGGAAAATAACAAAATTTATCCAAAATTTATCTATCACGAAAGAATCAGACACAATAAAAAGTACAATTAACATCGAATATTGAAACATCGAAAAGAGGGTTGGAACTGACAATGTTATACTGAGCAAGGTGAACATATACAGTGTTAGTTGTTTTCGCAAGGCATTTTTAATCCAAAAGTCGACAAATTCGGCTAAAGCCGGACACAGAAAAGAGGCGAACATATATGTACAAGGACATCGGAAATTGTGAAAAAGGAAGAGACACTTAAAAGTGGGTGAAAGAAAGTACATGTACCGAAACAGTTAAAATAGTTAGTATTTTCTGTCTTCTAAAAGGGTAAATTAACCTTATAAAGAAAGAATTATAGTTTAATACAAAACTATGTTGATATTCAAGTCGCGAAGCGTTTAATAGAGGATTGATGAAACTGGGCAATCATATCCAAAACACGAGAACACAGAGATTTGAAAATGTTCACTATCATACTATTTTTTGTAACGATACTGCGAGAACAAATTGTGCACGATAACGAGGGAATTAAATTTTAACAGAAACAGGAAAAAACGAGCGAGAAAAAGAGAGAAGCAAAAAGAGAAATAGAGAAATACGGTAAATAAAAGAGAACAAGAGAAAAAAACATTAACACTGAAGAACATATTTCTCGCTTTACCCAATACAATATGGAAGTCCAGCCCTCCATAGTGATACACTGGAAGACAGTGAGCATGGCGAATCCGATGTTATCGAAGCTGGTGATGCCCGAATTTGGTCCATCCCAGATATTCCTGCACGTCGAGACATTCGCATCGCACACGTGGGACCCGGACGGGGCATCATTTTTGTTGTCTGTGCTACACGGAGTTGTTATATCCCCCTCCTGTACGATTGCATCTGCAACGTTCAATATTGTAAAACATTTCATATATTATAACGTCAGAATAACCTGAAAAAGAATTGAAGCGTATATGTATATATTTTCTAAGTAATCAGAAGCGTAAATTATATTTTCATGTATTTCAAGATTTTAGATATTTCTTTCAATCCTTTGTGTAATAAATCGAGTATATAAAATAAGACAAGTAATATTATAAGCAGTAGTGTTAGGCAAAATTTCTAGAAGGTCGATTGAGTACACTCACTGTCCTCTATAGTATAACACGCTTTATGCAGGATACCCGAATAAAACTCGAGGCCGATAATGGCGAATATCACGATGACGAAGAGTACCAGCAAGCCGATCTGCAGAAGCGGCGCCATCGCCTTAATGATAGACTTGAGCACCACCTGAAGACCTATTCGCAAAAAAATCGCCGAGGAGTTAATAAGCCTAATCACTATTTCTATAAAATCGATGTAGAAATCTATCCTCAATATTTCCGTGCATTATCGCTGATCTCGTTGTCCGAGAAATTATATGTAATTTTTTAAACGTAAAATTAATACTGATGAAAACCACAAGATCAACTTCTAGTAACAAATATATATATTTTTCTTTTGTTTGACGACATTTGTAATAACGATTTACAAATTAAAAAAGTTGTCTAGGTTTCGTAATATTTTCATAAAAATTATTTTAGTCTTCATAATGACTTGAAATAATACAATTCTTCAAAATTGTGCCTTTAATATTACTCGAAATGAATCATTCAAAACAGATGTAAAGCCTGTTCTATAATGTTCTTTATTTCCTATTTCTTGTTTTTTACCTTTTGCTTTTTTTCCTCTGCAATCGTTCTATCAATAATTATATTTTTTGTTACGTATTTCTTGTTACGTATTTCTTATTTCTTTCGAAGTTAACTTTTATCTCGGGCGATATAAAATCGGAAGAGGCAAAAAGACAAGATGTAAAAATAACAAAAGACAAGAAACAAGAAACAAAAAGCATTATAGAACAGGTTTAAGATTCATTTACATAACGAACTTCAAAAACAATTTTTTACATTAAGTTTAAAGTGCAAATATCTATTGTTAAGGTGTGAGTATTTATTTTGCCCGTTATTTACGAAAATCTCGCCGGGGATTTCGTTTACAATGGGGCTTCCCCAGACGCGAGACTTCTTTGGATTTCCTCGAGCAGAACTGCTTCGAGTTCCAAAAAATTGATCGTTTTCTAATTTGTACTAATGTGCTACTCACTCGGTATGCCGGAGACAAGTTTGAGTGGTCGCAACACGCGTATCGCACGCAACGTGCGCAGATCTATATCCAGGTCTCCGAATAGCGACGTGATGATCCTGCTCCAAAAACACACACACCCCGCCACATTTTACTACTTACTATTCTATTACACTAATACTCACGCTACTCTTAAGTACTTATACTACGTCCACTAAATAATTGACTACGTTCTTTCTAATCTGGGGAGATAATGCTATCAGGACGATCGGATGAAATTCTTGTATGTAGAAGATCAAAGAACTCTGATAAATTAAACTTCGAAAGCGCAAAATGAATATAAATAGCTATCTATAACAGAATATCTGATAAATCCCAAATGAATTATCTTATTTAACAAAAAAGTACTTGATTTAAAAAATGTTTAAAGTTTAAAAGAGAGATTTAAAAAAAAGAATAAGGCAACTTTATTTCTATATTGCGGTTAAGCAAATATCAAATTCATATTGTTTTCCGAGCTTTTTCGTTTATTCGTTATAATATAAATATCAATTTAAAAGAAATCAATAATCTGTATCTGTATTAATATAAAATATTTTTAAAGAAACATTATTAAAGTACCTCGGTATATAATAATCACAACTTTAAATTATAAAAATATAATAATTAATAACATCGTGATTTTGAATTTTTGAGATGTACTGGAATGAATATATTTTTCTCTATTTTATTAAATTTAACGCTATACTAAAAAATAAATGTCTGATAAGATAGAGCAATGTTCTACTGAAAAAGGCGCTGCGAAGGAATAGGATTGATGTATAGGCATGTAAATATATCTATGTATTTATTATATATATGTACATTCTATGTATATACGTAGCTATGTAAAATACAGTATATCTAGGTCTAGTAAAAACGCTGAGATAGTGGTTATAATCACACCTGAACTCGGCGCTCGTTTCTCAAAGTTATCAGTTCACCGTACGGTCATCGACGATTACTTATCTATTTCTAACTCTCGAATAGCAGAAGCTTTTCGAAAAGATTCACATCGATCCATAAAAGACAGATGAGTACGTGTTAAATTTTTTTTACACTAGACAACGAATTCAAAAAACTCTATATTTTTTCTATTCTGACATAATAAATGTTTTTTGATTATAGAACCAAGTATTTGGAAAAAATAATTTAATTCTATACTTTTAAAAAAAATCAAAGTTGAACCTAATACTAAAAACATCATCTCAAATATCATTATGAAGTCATTAAATATTAGAAATGTTTTAGCAACTTTCAAACTTGATCCAAGGATTACTGTAGAATCTATCTGACTAACGAGTATGGTGATCGGCGTGTTTCCTTAATTCCTATAGCTGGGGAAACCAGTTTTCGGACTATGTTGCCAAAATATCAAAATTTTCCGAAAGATTGCGTAATAACAACATTACCGCTATCAAAACTATGCTTTTGATATTAGAGATAACGCTTATGTAACATTTATTAATAATCCCATTGTTATATAAAAGTATATATAATCAATTTATTAATGTATTAAATTTTTAGGAAAAAAATGAAATCACTTTTTTATCATAGTAGATATTAAAATTTTGCTATATTACACATAAACTACTAATTACGTCAGCAAGGCATAAAGTATCTCATTTAACAATATTAGTCAAACTGATTCCTCCAACATCTTGTTTCCTCATAAAGATGTAATTAGAAAAAGAGGTTTATTTTGCCACTCACTTCAGCTGCAAATTGATTAATAGGTGTTTGCTCTCTTGAATAATAATATTAATGATCTGTCCTATATTTGTGTGAATAATGTAAATGTATGTAGGAGAATGTAATAACGATTTTTGCTGCAGATTTTAAATAGAAGCAATGATAATTTCAAACAGAAAAGTCATTTATTATTTCAATCAAATTATGTAAACATCATGATATTAATTTATAGGATATCTTTCATAATACCAGTGTATCAATAAAAAGTAGGATTGACGATTATCTGTTTAACCAGGTATATAAGATAGAAATAGATCTGAAATAAAATCCGATTGAAGAGACTTTTTCTAATCCAAATATTTCCAATTGTTTAGATATCCGAACCGTTAAAGTTTAATGATTAACCGTTCATTATTTGGATTGTGGATCTTTCAATATTTTTTTCTATGCATATAAGGTGTGTATATATGAGAAAGCGAAAGTGTGAGGACGCAAGGGAGAGAGAAAGAGAGAGAGAGAGAGAGAGAGAGAGAGAGAGGGGTGAGTGTGAAAAAGAATGAGAAACAGTGAGACCGAGAAATAGAGAGAGCAAGAAAGCGAGAGAGAAAAACTTTATATATTTATTTCGATTTATATATTAATATAGGCTAAATATACTTTTTTACATATTAAAACAATTTTAATTTTAATTTAATATAATTTTACATATATTAATAATTTTAATTATCTAAACAGATCCTGTTTTTATTAATATTAATAAAGTGCAATAGTTAGTTTCTGAGAAATAAGGGGATGTCACTTTAGAAAACCTATTCGTATATCAGCGACTTTCCTCTAGTAAAATCTGTAATTTAATCAGAATCTGAATTTATGAGATAATAGATTCGAAAGATTGGGCCTGGGCGGATTCGCAGAGTATTATATTTCAATATTCGGGTATAAGACCTGAATAATATTACTATCCAGATATCTACAGATCCAGGCGAAATCGTTAATCTTAATGAAAAGAATTCACAATCTTGAAAATCTTTTTTTTCCAAGAACATATAAAATGTTGAAGATTACTGGTAAGAATATTATAAGATTACTGTAGAAAATTACTGGTAAAAAGGAAGAGTAGAAAAAGGAAAAACGGAAGTGGACAAAGGGAGAGATTTTACTGACAAAAGTAAGCATTCGACTCTCACCCGGTCACCACGACGAAGAAGTCCATGATGTTCCAAATGTTGCGCAGGTATGAGCCGCGGTGGAGGGCGAAGCCAAAGGCAATAATTTTGAGGCTCGCTTCGATACAGAAGATCGTAAGGAAGTACATCTCCGTGGACTCGAGCGACTCTGCGAGTATGGTCTTGTCGTTCCTCGGCAAGTGTTCCTCGAGGGCGAGGACCACGCAATTGGCGATGATGGTGAACAGGACGGCGTACTCGAAGGGCGGCCACTCGGTGACACTGCGTACCTTCAACCGTATCCAATTATCTTCCGAAAGGATAAACAACGATGTAGTGCCCTTGTTGCCTCTCTCGCCGCTACTTTTACCCTTTCCTTTCCGACCCGGAGCCATGTTCACCAGATCAGGTACCTGATAACGCCAATGTTCTGCTAAAAAAACTCCGAAAAAGAAAAAGAGAGAGACTTTCAAGAGTGAATTATAGTATAATAGAGTTTATAAAATGATATAAAAAATTTTAAAAGTAACATACTGTAAGACCAGTCCCTTCTCGATCAGAGTATCAATCATGCAACTTTTCTCTAGAGTGGAAGCGTGAAAAGCGGAAATTTTTACGTATGTATGTACAAACATATACACACATACAAACAAAAAACGTTTTCGTCTCTTAGAGAAAAAGTTATATAATCAATACCCTGAACTATATTTTTTTTTGTTGACACTTTCATTGGCGACACTGCTTACCTGTCATTACGCATTGCGTACCACGATTAGTTTTCTCAGGTGGGAATAACCCGACCGCGCGATTTGTTGTTCGCGTGCATCATTAGGTATGTTCGCGTTGCATGAAATCCCCAAATATTTGTGCACTTAAAATGATAGATACATATTTCGCCTTGAAGAGAGAGAAAGCAAGGATGCCAAAAGTGAAAGCAATGCGAACAGACCTAATGATAAAGCTCTAGCTATACCAAAGTAGCATATAGGTCCTTCATTTTCAACTTAACCACCCTGTATCAATAATATCAGCGCTTATTGGACTACAGATAACTAGATCGAAATGACGGTCGAAATAGAAAATATTTTTACCAGGGATTATATAAATAAAAATAATTATAATTATATTACGATCATAATTATAATTATAATTACAATCGTAATATAATTGTAAGAGAAACTTTTAAGCGACAAGCGGTGAAGATATTGCTCAGAAGAGAAACTGTACAATTGCAAAGACACAATGATTGATTTTCCGGTGATTATAAAACTGTCACGGATTGCAGAATGTAGACGATCGATATTTTACATTAAGGATGACAAAGACAAAGACAATAATTAATAATTGTCATCTTACCTTCCCTCCGAAGCCTCCAGTCACTGAGACTACTCCTCAATCCGGCCAACCTCGATCTTCTCCCGTAATACTGACTTGCTTATCCAGGATCCCTTTATGCCGCCTCTTGCGCTGCTGCTAACATGGAAACGATAGAGGGATAAAAGAGGTCAGCGACTAGTTGCACATCGGAGCAATTTCTCAATTATTCGCGTGACATAACGATCGCGTCAAATAACGATACCATAAACCGTACCATGATTTCTATAAACGAAACAATCACTTGCAAATCAATTCTATCTCAGCTGAAAATTATTTAATGCTTTAGTCTTAAATGAAAATGCGATCTGAAATTTATCAGTAAATTAGCTATGATTTATGAATAAATTGTTAAATTCGAAACAGATCAAACTTATCTACATTCGGAATTAATTAGCGGAAATTATACAAACTTATCTATTGTATAATTTCCACTAATTATTATAGTTTTAAAATATTTAATAATCTGACAAGCACTAACAATTACAAGGTGTTTAACTTGATATAAGAATTAGCAGAATAAGTAAAAGATTGTCAATAAATGATATGTGACATAATAATACTTTAATAATTAAATAATTAAATCGATACTTTAACTAGAAAATTCTTAAAAGAAATAAATAAAGAAAAACGTTTTATATCTCTTTAATATAAATTATATATTAAAAATCGCTCTCGCCTATTTATAGCTAAATTCATCTAATTATTAATCTGTATTAAACAAATCTCAAAATTAGATGGTCAAATTTAATTGATATGCGATATAAAAACATAACTATAAATTTAGCATATATATCTTTGTACTATTCATACACGTTAAAAATATTTAAAATATTTTCTTAATTCGATAAAACTTTAATTTTAACGAAACATTTAAAGTTTTCTTTGTAGATGCGTATTCACGAATCACTAAAAATCCATAAAGTGTGCAGAATTATTAGCGGGCGATGGCTCAGTGGGATTTCATGAAACAGTTCGTTAATGATGGTGGACGAAAGTATATAACGTGGCTCCAGCTTCAATTAAGTTACATTAGCCGAGTACATTTTTGCGACAGATGTCCTATATGCATCCCGATGATTCTTTTCGTGCGACAGAGAGAGAAAGAGAGAGATAGAGGGTGGGTGAGTGAGTGACACTCAAGGCACGTGGTAGTGCAATAATTTATGGTAAGAATTTCCCATCGTTTCATCCTCGCTCTCGTACAATGCGTCAAATGCATCAATATATACAATACATCGAAATTACCGCGTTTGTAAAATCACATTCAATTTAGACAGACTGAGGATATTGACCTATATTATTTGTGATAACGTTTTTAGAAATGATACATGTGACCCTAATTGTGATATAAGTACTGAACTTTAAAATATATCTGATTAACATTTAAACTTGATTTCGACTAACATTTTATTTAAAATAAGATATCTTTTAAGAAAACACTTTTAGTTATAATTAGAGCTTAATTGATGTATATTTTTTAGTTTTGTCAAGAGAAATTGTTTTTTTACGTTAAATAAGTTTGTTAATTAATCCTTTAGTAGAAAAAACAGATATACATGTTTTTATTTTTCATTTCTTGAGAGACGAATATCTTTAGCGAACGTCAGTACAATAATATGAATTTATACATAAAAGATAGAACTAAATAAATGTCAACCTGAAATAGTCAATTGAATGACAAATATGATTCTTTGCATTACAATTTAATTACAGTTGTAGACAAAAAGTATTTAATAATTTTTTTATATGTATAAAAAGCTTTAAATATTATGACTTACATTAATAATTTTCTTACACATAGCTAGAAAAGGCTTTAAGTATTAACCCTTAGTACTCACATCACAAGAAAATTCCTATCTACCCACGTCCGGATATTTGTAATCCATTTTTTTTTTGCTTGTATTTCAGATTGTAGTGCATCGATTTTAAATAATTTTTTTTAATCTATCGTTTAAAGACTGAAAAAAAATATTTTTTAGTTAGAAAGTCTAAAGTGTCGTAGCACAAAAGATATTTTGCAATAAGTGAAAGGGATCAGAAAAAATGCCTGAACTATGAAAATCGGAGGAATTACGCTAACCCTTTGTAACTGAGGGTTAAGTATAAACTTACATTTACATGCGCGATAAATTAATAGAGATAAACGTTGCGATATCTATTTCCTAAATCACCGATCAATCTTACTGTCAAATTATTCATTATGTATAATTCATTATATATAATTCTGCTTATTTAAACATTCGCAATTAAAAAAATTACACGATAAATTTAACTAAATTTTATCCAAGAATCTGAACGACTTTATCCAAGAAACTGATATTCACTGTATGAAAGTATGGCAGATTAAAAATATCATATTTATATTTGTATAGAAGTATATCTAAGAGATACATAAACTCTAAATTTCTTGCAGTGAAATCTCACTCCAAGAGAGTGAAAATACAATTATTCTTGAAAAAAAAGTGAGAATACTTCACTTCTTGAAAAAGAAAGACAATTTTCATTCTTTTTAAAGTGAACTTATGTTCGGTTGAGATTAAATGTATCTGCGTTTGTATAATTAAGAATACCTTTATTGCATAAATTTATTATGAAAATGTTTGTTGAAAATGTATTATGAAAAACTTGTCAAATTTTGCCATTCAAAAAGATTTATTTGTTTTAAATATCAAAATAGAATAAATAAAGTATATATGTCTATATGCAAAAAGTGTTACTATTCATAATTCAACTGTTCTTTTTATTGCTAAAGTTTAATTTTCATTAATTTTTATTGTAATTTTAATTGCTATTGATTTTTAATTGTCATTAATTTCCAATAAACTATATTAAAATTGCATCATAATTCATAATTAGACCCTAAAATGTGGATCTTTAATAAATATAAATTTTTTTTTCAATGAATGATCCACAACTAGTGTTTTATTCTACATATGAAACAGTTCGATAAAATCAATATTCATTTTTAATAATACAATTTTATAGTTTAAGTTAAAATTTTTTTAGTTTATCTTAATTATTTTTTAAAAATATTTATTTCTCATCTTATTCAATTTTTTGTACTTTCAAACAATATAGAAAATTTTGTAATTTTGTCATAACTTTTTTATTTTATTAAAAAATATGTGTAACACGTCGTTAATTGATTCGTGAGTTCTAATAAAATATTATGATTTTTCTGCACAATACATTCAACTTTGAAAGAAGATTTGCTATTCAATTCAATCATTTCATTTAATTCTATTCTTGTGAAGCTTGCATTGTATCTAAGCATTAAATTTATTGCATCAAATAAATCGTTATTCAATTAATATCAATTTATTTATGGCCGTAGATTCTGAATTATTTCATTATTAAGTGAAATTGCATCAAGAGTTTGTACAGAGCTTTCTAAATTCATGGTAACTTTCAAATAACCGTTCTCATCTCGCGCTGTCTATTCATAACCGCATGCAAAACCATCTTGAATTATCGAACGCCATCGTGCAACCGCTAATAGCGGTATTGGATAACGCACGAAACACTCAGATGACAGAGTCCGATTGCTCAATCGATTCTGGCAAAACACTGATTACAACCATCGCTCACGGAGAGTATCGTGTGATTATCGTCAATGACCGTATCTGGATTCGGAGCAGCGGAATAACAGTCGATCGAGGAAGATCTGATTTATTCCACTCGATCGAGTAGTCCACTGCCATAAGCCGTTACTCTTCTCGTTCAATCGAATCAATTACCATATACATGTTTTTAAGAGAGCGTAACTCTGCACGATTACGCGAGAATTAGCTCCTGTCGCCGGCTCCTGTACGATGGCAAAAATGTAGCTACGAACTCCATGACGACCGTCGCGGCGCCTAGCCGGCGTCAACGCCGCTCCCACCCCGCAACGAGACCCGGGCATCCCCCGACATGCGGGGGAGGATGGTGTCAGAAGCGGAACGAAGAGCGGCATCAAGGGGAACGTTACGGAGAGAAGCGGGCATCCCCTGTGACGTCACGTAAGCGCCATTTCGTCCAGTGACGTCAACAACGACGACGACGACGACAATAACGATGAAGATGACTGCCGTCTACGTATCTATCTCTGGCACTCCTCCATCTTGTTTTGTATGGCGCACGTGTGACCGATGATATGTATATATGTCGTCCCATCATGGATGTTTGCGTTGTGGCTTCGGGTGGCTTTCGGGGAAGGTACATTGCCATCCGTACGTTCGTGAATATGGACAAATTAATCTTTTATTTACGATATTCCGCAAGAAGAAAAAGACACCATATATACTTTTTTCTATACTCAAGGATCGTATTGCTATATAGGATTTATCTTATCTCGGTTGCAATACCTGCGGTTAGTACCTGCTGGAGAAAAAGCAGATAACTCTAACTTTGCTCAAAAATAAATCATAATCACGTCACATATATCCAGCCGAGAGCTATAATAATTACATACACACATACACACACACATGCGCGCGCGTGCTTGAAAGAGAGGGAGAGAAACTTTCTTGAAGAACGATACTTTATAATTATAATTCGAGTAAAAATTAAAATACCCAAGACCCTAAATAATTTTCCAAAAACCGGCGTACAAACAATTTTCATTTCAAATTTTGTTTCACACATTTTACATTCTCTTTAAATTTCTTTGAGTGGAATCTCACTCTAAGAGGATAAAAATACGGCCATTTTTGGTGAATCAACAGTGAAAATCTTCTTGGGAAAAATCTCACTTCTTTTTTTGAAATATAATTTCACTCAGAAAGAGTGAAAATTGTCACTTTTTTTTTCAAGAAGTGAAATATTTTCACTATTCTCCAAAGTGACTATATTTTCACTCTCTTAGAGTGAGATTTCACTTCAAGAAACTTGGATAGTTCTTATAATAATTTCTTCTAAGTATTTTTTAATACTTATTTTTTAAAATAGTTTTCATCAATAAATAGAATAAGCGATTTGCTTATATTTTGAAATTTTTCACTGTAAGTAAACAAAAACTATAGAGGATTTTTGTTAAATGGTCTACTTTAATTAAATTAATTCTCTCTTATAAATAAGTACAAAACCGCATTGACTGGCCGAGAGGTGGATTGGTGTCGTAAT